AGGCAGCATGGGCCTTCGAAGAGCCGCTCTACGAGATCACCTCGTTCCCTAAAATGCATTCATCTTCTGTTTCCCGATCCTATTCGTATCTCGATAGGGTTTTATGCGCTCAAACACGAACGGAGAGACCGATGGAAGGAGGTGAAGAGAGAGCGAACGGTAGTGGGCCGCTGGTCGCGGAGCCCCTCTTTGGAGAAGCGGCCCATCGAAGACGAAATAGATCGAGATGGCATGAAACTGCTAGAAAACGGACATCGTCGACTCGGAAAGCGCGACCGCGATTCCCTCGCGAAGACGACCTCGTCGCATGCTGCCGTCGCCGTGGACGAGGCCGACGGGCTATCTAATCTCCGATTCCGCTCGATAGACTCCTGTCATCCCGTCGCAGGGTAACTTGTCGAATGGAATCGCGCGAGGTCATGCCGTTCGTGTTGGCGCTATCTTTATGGCGTGCGCGAAGCGGAACGTCGAGGATTTACGACGGGGAATAAATTGGAGTCAGTAGAGTTCCAACGTCTCGTCTTTCTCATTTCGGTCTTTTCATCCGAAATGTTTTTTTTTTTTTTTTTAGGGGGGGAAGGGGGATTCGAGATGGATTTTGATCTTGGTCACAATTTGCATCGATGAAACTTCATTCCCAACTTATTCATAACGGCGCACTCAGTGTGCGTTTTTTTTTTATTTACTGCCAAAATCGAAGACTCTTCTCTTTTAAGCTGGCACACCGACGACAAACTTAAGGAAGAGAGAATCCGGGAAAATAATTAGAGTTCCATTTAACCTAAACATCTGCCACGAGCATAAAGGAACGCGTGCGATGCTTTCCAAGAAAATCAATCACGCATGTTTACAAATGCCTCTTGTCTTCGGGAAAGGACTCGTTTCGGGTATCGCATGATTGCAGGGTGAAAACGGCCGTGCGTGAATTCCATAAAATTTCGAAAATAACACCGTAAGCAGTTAGGAATTCCGGGTTCGTCGGACACACGAATGAGGAACGACTCGACTCGGCGCGCCCCGCGTCTTGGCCGCCTCCGACGACACGCACGAAGCCGAAGAAAGAAGCCATCACTTCACGCCCGAACGAGCCGAGTCGTCTCGGTTCACGACCGGCGGGTCGGCGCAAGCGATGGAGTGCCCCCTTCCCGCTGCTTTCCCGCCGTGGCACCGCAGTCACGTGACGGCGAAACGGCGGGACGACGACGGAGACGCAGACACCCGGACCTCCGACTGGCCGTGCTCCCCCGATGCTCCCCATCGTCCGAGGTCGCTCCAAGTCTTTCGCGGGGCGTTGCAGTCGGAGTCTCGAAAGGCTGCCACCGAGTTCTGGATTAGCGATCGAGCGACCACAGAATCTCCTCGGCGATGTCATCCGTTGTGACGGGCACTGACCCCTAAAAATGTTCAAATAGTTACCAACTGGATATTTGAACGAGTCGTTCACCGAATGCAGAGAAAACTCGAGGCCGACAAAGCCCAGTCCGACTCCGAGCCCCCTCACAAATTTCGGTGAGAAAAGTCTGCACTGGCAGACAGACAAACTTTTTATGATTGAACCATTTTGACTGCGTGGAAGGCAATACATGATTCCGGTGTGAGATAAAACATCCTTATGATGCAAAGCATTAGTTTTCGGTGTTTTTCAACTGATGCCCGCTGGGTTTCCTCCAATCTTACATTTAACTAGTGTCCGGTAGATGTCCCTCGAGTCGAAACACCAGCCATCCGGCGTTCTCATAGCGGTGTGTTAACACATCGCGAAATCACAAGTTGCTGTAGTAGTTGCATTGTCCATTAAACAAAGTTTCATAAAAAGAGGACGCTAATGTATTTACATCAGCACCATATCCTCAATCACATATACTCCAGCGCCATCTATTTGTAAATTTTTGGATGAACTGGAACTGCTACTGAACTAGTACGTGGCAAGGGTGCCAGTTATCCGTAGTCTTTTAGAAGTAAACTAGTTCAACCAGGAATTAATCTTTTCCATATATAATTATGTTTTGCCTATTTCTTTTTACGTGAAAACATTCGTAAATACTGTCATCCAAATTTGAAATCATCCCGTAATTTAAAATGAATTTTAATGTCAATATTAACTGTAATTAGACGACTAGTTGGTTGAGTTGGTTTCGATGGCTGCATATGCTTTGAAAATGTTTAAGAGGAACCTCTACTTCGGTACGAGTGCTTTATGAATGAATTCATGAGAAAAACTTGCGTACAACCAAAAATTTATAAACTGTTTTCGGTCTCCGTGGCCAATTGGGAACGAGGTGGTCGAAAGGGTTAAACGGTTGGTGATTCAGGAGAGAGTAGGAATAAAGAGAGGAAGTAGGTAGATAGGGAAAATCCGAAAGTCTTGATGAAAAATCTTCGGATGGAAAATCTGATATCTCTAGCGAATGAGAACCCGATCGAGTTATCCGCAGTCTTTTAGAAGAACGGCACGAGGTTGGCCTCCTGCCACCTGACGAGAAAGAGGCACAGCTTGCCTGAGCAATTGGAAGGGCAGAGTGCATCATCTCCTACGATGGCCGCCTACGTGGTACTGGTGTGTATAAATCATATGGAGGCCCTAACCTGACATTTTTCTTTTCCGGACGATTTGTTTGCATGTGCATGTCGCCGGTAAAACCAATTCCGAACTTTTTTGGAACCATTTTAACGACTGGGATGAGACAGTGACTGCGTCTCGACCAGGTCGGTTGCTACCTATCCAGAAATTTTGACTATTGTACGTACGTATTTCTAGCTGAAGCCTCGTAGTTCTTTTTCACTGGCAGAAATCTGGTTAAGAAGATAAATGTAGCTTTCTCAGTATGCCTCAGGGTAACCCCACATGTACTACAGGTAGTGAACTATACAAAAATAGTGAAAATCATCTCTGTCACCTTGTCAAATAGACTGAAGGAAATAAATTATTGTGGGAATTCGAGGCATTTTGGGGAGAAAAAAGCTAATATAGAATTTATAGTATGAATCAATGGGTAATCAAATCTTTTATTATTGTATACCCTTTACTAAGTTCAGCCATAGTCTTCCAGCTAAAATAGCTTTTATCATTGAAACCTACTTCTCATCGACCTATGCCAACCTTTCTGCTAGCCAGTCATGCTTTGATTACAATGATCACAATGACTTCGTGCCTATCCCTCACTTATCATCCTTTATATGATTCCCAGCAGACAAAGTCAGAGTTAGAAGTGTTGTAACTCTTCTAAGTGTTGGCAAAGCACCTGAGAGTGTTGACAAAATCTTTGAAGTGGCCTAGTCTTTTTTATAGCTAACTTCTTGGTTGTTATTATATAGTTCTCTTTTCAATTTTGTCACACATTGGTGTAAATATATTCTATAAAAGACTAGTGATTCTAAAATTCATCATTAATATCATATGAATTGGTTTTTTGTTGCCTCCCATAGGCTTGTTGAGTGGACTTAAAAGTTCTTTAAATATAATTGATGAAATTTCCATGGAATTCATATGATATATTTTACAAAATGTACAAAAATTATCTCTTCATCTCATTTTATGATTTGCCCTTCTTTCAGAACTACCACTTTGCAGTGTTATATTAAAAAAGCTAGACCAATAATCTTCATGGTCATACTTCCTCTTTCCGTGTTACTGTCAGGGTGGGAGATGAAAGGGCTGCCTGATTATGAGTCATCAGAGATGTTATGCATCCTTCAGTGTATCATTAATTTTACTTTGAAATTTGTTCAACTGTAGAAAAAAAAAAGAGTGGAACATCCAAGTGGACTTTTTAATTGAACTTCAAATTGGTGATGTGTGTTGTTTGAACCAGATTGATTCTCAACAAATCTGCAACAAAATTGCTGGATCCAATGACTAGTACTTTGCCAGGAACTATAAGAAAAGTTGGCATATCTTAAGTATGAATGACTGGCACATATTTAAAACTTATTCTGAGATTTGTCTTGTTACTTTCTGAATGACCCCCTGAATCTCTCTTGATGCTTGGATCCTTGTTTCTTGGGCTGTATCTGATTCCACTGAGATGGCAGCTGCGTTAAGATAATGCATGGTTATCTTATGTAATTTTTGCTAAATTTTCAACCTTGATGGTTGCTCCCTGATGCAAATGAGAAAGATGGCCTCCTTCAATAAGACCTCATCCTGCATTCATGTCATATACCTTGTATCATATCTGAAGTGGAATAAATAAAAAGAATGACTCAACCAACATGTGGCAATATTTTTTGCCTTTCCTTCAACATATTTTCTTGGGAGAGAAAAAAGAAATGTAGAAATCAATTACTCCTATTGAAAATGCCCAAGAAGCCATTGTATTAGTGCTTCATATAATAGTGATAGGATCTTAAGCAGCATGCATTTTGAGTGGCAATTTTGTTCCATTTTAATGAAACTTGATGTATTCCAGAGCTCAGTAGGGAGATGAAGAACTGTGGTATTTCATCTTATATTCATTTGAATCTTATGATAATTCAATGTGGGATTAGGCCTAAAGCAAATATAAAGCAATTCTTTCCATCCGTTCCAAGTAGACATCCTGGTGGCTTCATTTAGGAGTCATGCAGTCTCAACTGAGTACATTCTGAATGGCATGTCTTTCCATTTGACATAGGTATATGCACTGTGGAATTTTTGCATTATCTCATTCCCTTCCATCTTGCTCCAAGTGGAGTTGTAGTCACATTTGGTCTGTATAGACTCTGAAATTATGGTTAGATAATAAATAGAAAGATACTACTTCCTCTGTCAACCCATCTGGTCATGAGTAGCTCTCTGTCGCCATGACTACTAAAAAATAGCCACGTGTTATAGCCTTTAGTGTCCCAAGTCCATTTTCTGTTAATCTCCAGTTAATAAAAGTTTTCTAATTGATGAGTTGTAAACCACTGCTTTTGACCAACTTTTTGATTCTTTATTAACTGGAGATGAATTGAATCTAGATTTGAGTCAACAGAAAGTGCAAATAGTATTGCAAGGATGCATGATTCACCATTGCCTTCTTTAAGCAGATTGAATAGCCAGTATCGAGACTCACTATGCTAATATGAGACTGGCATGGGATGAGAGCTATGCTGTTAGAATTAGCATTCAGTCATGTTATACATGACATACTGAAGTATGAGGTTTCACTCCTGCATGGATGAATACTGAGACCACACCATTGCTCAATTTTTCTAAACGAGAAGCCGGAATGGCTGTTTTTTCGCATGTACGTCAGCGATCTTCTGGCTCCTTTGATGTGAATGTGTATTCTCCCTCTCATGGCACCTCTCGAGCCCCTCTTATTGCTGTGGACCCGTGAGTTATTGGTATTTTCAGAAAAAATGTTCATATCAATTCAATAGGTTTAGTTTTCACATCAATTTAAAATATAAATTGTCCTGAGAACTGAATCTTCTCCTGCCCTTCTACTCATCAGTTTAGAATACTGAGATAGGTTTCCAAAAATCAACAGCAGCAGTGAAATTGCATAGATCTACTGGTAGTTGCTAATACAGAGAAGAGTTTTTCAATTGATTCACTTGATTATAAAATAGCATGGTAAGTATTTTTTGAGGGCTAAAATTAGAGTTTTTGAGTTGAACTGAAAGTTTATTCTGAGGCTTGCCAACTTGTCAGTTGATACAATTTTCAATGTTGTTATTTAGGCTTATCTGATGAAAATTTCTCCTGAAAATTTAGCCAGTTTGCCGAGTGAAGAGAATGACATAGTTTGATTTGGCAGTCCTGGTCTCTGCAACAGATGGTTACTGTCTTTTTAGCTCATACCTTTGGTTTTTTTCATGAGCAGTTATTGTGGAAGAGAATTTTTGGGTAACATATACTGGATCAGTGATATGATTGGATTTTTATATAAAATAATGAAATCAGAGAGATTTTCTGCAAGAATCCAATATTTTTGCCATTCTGCATGGCTAATTTGAAAGATGGCTGTTCTTTAACTTAAAAAAAATCCTTGGCAGTATTGATCAGTAGATCAAGATTGACAAGTATTTTTTCAGGAGATCATATGATAGTTTATGCCTGCTGCATACCACAATAGACTGTCATCATCCCTGTATACTATGGTCTTGGATGAATAGACATCCTTCAGTCTCATTTCCCTTTTCCTTTTTAACTCTTTGAGCACAGATTACAGCATGCAATGTTTCAGGTTTAAAAATATTCACATTTCTTGTTTCTATAGTCAACTAAAGGCAAATTAAGCAGTTCCAAAGTGAATCCACTTTTCCAGAGACATACTAGATGTTATGTGAAAGCTGCTTACACAGAAAAACCAGTTTGGCCTAAAGGATTAACCCTTTAACTGGGAAGTTTTTCACCAAATGCATTTTAACCTGTGGGAGGTCAGACATCAAAAGGTATCTAACCCAGTTAAGTGGTTAAGCATACTAAGGGTTAGCTGATCTTGATGAAATGAAGCTGGATTTTACAAAATTGTATTGGATAAGGGGCTTCACAGAAGTTGGTGAAAGTACTTGTATTCATTGCATGTACTCAGGACACTATAAGTAGTGAAGAGATAAGGTGGAAGGCAGAGATAAGGACTCCCATGTGTCTTATCTATTTGTGCAAGAGCATTTGCTCTCAAGCAGGGATATTCAGTACCTCCATTCTCCTTCAGTTTGTATCAGTCATGAGTGAGAAAGAAGAATTACTCAAGAGTGATTCCTTCACTGATCGATTCCGTTCTACTTATGGAACAGCACGTGTTGAAAGAACAAGGCGCCTCCCTAGGTAGATGAAAACCTGTACTTTAGGTGGCCTGTTTTTCTGAAAAGTAATTGATAATCTTGGCGCACTTGGAATGCCAGACATTTTCATCAATCCTAAAGAACCTTGACATCAGTGGGAAAGGGAATCTCTTGATGGGATGAATATTAATTTCTTAATATTCATGATTCTGACAGAAATTATTGTTATAAGAAATTACATAATTTTTTCATTCATTGAGCAAAAGTTCAGCACTCTGAACTGAAAAATATTATGGTGTTTTCTTGAAATTAAATAAGATCATCTGTCTGGAAACAGTCCTAGGATGAGAAGTTCTAGGAGCCCTCCCTCCAATCATATGATTCCAGGGAGAAGTAGTGGGTAAATTTTTTTAAATATTGGGAGTGGCTTGTCAACTGCCATTTGTGAATTTTCTGGGTCTCACCAGCTCTAGAGGAGTTTTCCTGTTATTTGTTTTATCCAACCCTTGACTGGTTTAGCAGCATATCTTTGTTAGTAATTCAGTATGGGGTAGCTTGTGACTTCAACATGACTTTTAGCCATTAGAAGGTACAATGGTTTGGTGTCGTATATAAAGAAAAAAAAGTTAAAATGTTCCTGCATGGCTGGTTACATTAAAAAAAGTTGTTGGTGGATTCATGAAGAAGGAAAGATGGCATCAGAGTTACTAAGGTCACAGATGCTAAGATCTGGCTCATACTTGGATCGCTCTCAATATTTACAACTTTTCTGAAATGAGTCTTCTACAATGTGCTATTGTAACAAAGTGGATAGATCCTTGGACTGGTTTCTGGTTATTCCATCCTGTGGGTTTGATTCCCACCTCCATTGTGATTTCCTTTCTCTAGTAAGGATAGACACAATATATAATTCCAGGTGGAGAGTGGAATTACATTCAGTGAATCTATCTACCCACTCATTCTTGAGTAGAATTCATCCAGTGTTGATGACTGTTCTGGTTAAGTGGTTTCATCTTGGTTTTGTGGAAAGCAGAATCTCAGGGGTTCAGGCAATCAGGCATATATGGAAAAATTCCAAACTGGAACTAAACATCCTGAATCTTGTGATAGAAATGATTAAGGTAATTGGTTACCTATATTGCCATTTTTTTCTGTATATCTTGAAGTACTCCCAGACTCATTCAGTATCAATGTGGCTAATAGTTAAACAGTCATGGATGTGGTATAATTTTGCTACATTCTTGGCAGTTGCACTGCCTGCATAGGTCACTCTCCCATATTCTGTTTAGTGTCCTGCCTCAGTCCACTATTATTCCTTGCTCAAGGGGTTCAACATGATGAGCAGGCCTTGCCAGACATTACAATAATTTAACAAATGATTATTTTGTTTATTAGGTGCCAGTGACCTTGAAAATTTTTTTTCCCCCAGGAGTCACCTAACAAAGCGTCATATTGCCATTGTGGGAGTGGTGTTGCTGGTGAGCTTCACAGCTATTGGCTTGGGTTTGGGTTTTGGAATTCCTGCACTTCGGTCAAAGTCTGTCATCCTGCCACATCATGACCCCCCCTCCAAGGATATCGATGAGGGCATTTATGTGCCTGCATACAACTTGGGAAATCCCATGGGCAGATATAAGAATGCTGCCGTCTGTGCTGATGCTACCCCATGTGCAACAATTGGCAAGTCTGTGTCATAGACCAGTTGTTTCATTACATAGCATTTATATAGAGATGTCACCATAAGCTGTAGGTTGTAAGTTTTCCTGTATTTTTCTGTTTGCAGAGAGATACTGCAGAAGAATGGATCAGCTGTTGATGCTGCAATAGCTGCTATGCTCTGTGATGGTGTTGTTAATGCTCACAGCATGGGTATAGGAGGGGGCTTTGTGATGACAATCTACCATCGGGCGAACAAGACAGCAGAAACTTTGATATCAAGAGAAAAAGCTCCAGCCCTGGCTAATGAGACCATGTTTGAAGGCAACTCCAGCCTTTCTCAAAAAGGTTACAGTTCAATGTATCTCAGTATTTCATTACTTGCTGCACTCACTTTTCAACCAAACACTGATAGATATGAGGGAGAATCACATGAGAAGCCACAAATTGGCTGCATCATGTGCCACCTTGCATTTACATACAGAGGCAAACTATTGGAAGGAATGAGATAAATTGATGCTAGTTTAAAAAATGTTGCTGCTCAGATGGGGAACCTTGGATATTACCATGGGCATTTTACAGTGCAGTGATAAAATTTGGCCTCCGTTTTATTTTTGCCCATTTTCCAAGGTACAATCACTTGCAAATTTAAATTGACACAAAATTTTGTTGCTACACTATATTGCACAAGGTTCAACTAACAGAAGACATATTGGGAGCTTGTCTGGCTATTTAATATCATGCTTCAGGATAGATCAACACAGGAATAGTAAATCTACCCTTAAAATTCCTTAGTAGGTTGAGAATCTTGTGAACATTTCAAACCTGAGATTGGTGGCATGAACAGCATAAATGTAAGGTTTGAAAATATGCTTCTTTTGTTGTATTCCCCAAAAAAGTGTATTTTTACAGGATTGTAATGTGGCACTTGTCACTTCATTCTCAATATAGATATTTAATAATTCAGAGCATCCTTGGGTATTGTTACGATCTAGTGGTGACTTGTCTCATCAATAGGTGGACTTTCTGTGGGTGTACCTGGAGAGATTCGTGGCTATTGGGAGGCATGGACTAAATATGGAAAACTAAACTGGACTGAACTGCTCCAACCAACCATTGACCTTTGTAAAAATGGTATCACGGTGGTGAGAGCTTTGGCAAAGGCCCTCCAGAGCTATGAAACTCAAATCCTGGAAGAACCAAGCATGAAAGAGTGAGCAATTCCTGTATGCTCTCTGACCATATGACCCTATTGGAATGTCAAAACTCTTGAAACGTGAGATAATGTTATCATTTTGACACTCCTCATCCTCACATCTTGGAGCTAGAGTGGTTTAAATCATTCAAGTTGACCAATCAGATAGACCCATATCTGATTGGTCAACCACTCTGGCTCAATGTGGATTGATGAGTAGAAGCAAATTTTTGTAAATTGATTGATTGATTTATTTTTAACTGATCCACTCTTGTTTTGATAGGGTCATGTGAGCTACTTTCAAATTTTCCTGCATCTTTTTTCCTTAATTTTTCTTCATTTTCAGAGTTTTTGTCAACCCAGAGACTGGCAAAGTATGGAAAGAGGGAGAAATAATGAAAAGACCACAGCTAGCCTTGACATTGGAACGTATTGCTGTGGAAGGACCTAATGCTTTCTATAATTCCAATTTGACTGATGCAATGGCTGAAGAGATCCGGAGTCATGGTGGTGTTATTACTAAAGAAGATTTCAGCAATTATACGTGAGTGCATAGGATTCATTCCTTTTATCAGGGCTGGCCCTGGCTATTCTGGTTCCCTGTACAAAGAGATACTTAGTATCTCTTTGTACTTAGTATCATCCCAAATGTTGAAAACAGTCTTAAATTACTCATGAATAACTGGGATTAGTGTCAAGAAAATATGCACACTAGGAATTAACTTGGATCCTTGAGATTTTGTTTAGTATAAAAACTAAGTTGATGGTTAATTGTATTTCCCTGAATAAACGCTTCTAAAGAAGTCTCAGAATTCAGTGTCACTATTGACACATTGGCTTTTCTGAATTCTGGTGGCAAGATGTCTTGGGTATCTGGAGCAAGATGAGGTTGCACAGTCATAAATAATCATTATTTTTTTTAGCAATGTCATCAGGCCTAACTTGGGATTTCATTTTTCTTGTAGGATAGCTGAAAAATGAATACCAGATTTCATATTCTGATGTCTCAATAAGTTAAATGTGAAAAACATTAAACATTTTGACGGCACCATCTTGAGGAGTTTTTCAAATGCACAAAATGAGCTACTACTTAAATAGCAATATTAAGAAGGTAATTTTTTAATATAGGATGGTGCACCACATCCATGTTTGTGTATTTTACCTATGATGTATTGGACATATTACCACCATAATTCATCATTTCTAAGATGTCAATCATGATAATGTGATTTTTTAAAATAATTTTTATGTGTTTATTTCATGAAAACACCCATCAGTTTACTTTTTATACTGATCAAAACCCCAAAGACAATAAATAAGAGAAAGTCAAAAGTTTTGTTTAACCTCTTTTGTCATTTAAAAATATTCAGGTCTTAAGTCAGTCACTTTTCAGCCATCCAGTATTGCAGAGACATGCATTGACCAATCCACATGATACTGTTCTATATGTGAGTTCAATGCATTAACTGCCTCCTTAGGACTAGGTACATGCATTGCATTAGGGGAACATAACTACATGAATTGGAATAAAAGCTTTGTCTATTTTGCATATTGACAACATAGAAACTACCAAAGAGCCAGATTGTTGCATCTTCTAACACTCAGTCCAGATGTTAGTCAAGGTGCTCCTCTCAATTCATCCCCTGTCTGCAGCAACTGAGAGAAAAGATAGCTTTACTGTGTTGCACCCTGTCATTATTGACATCAATGTGCTGTTGTTGGACTCAGTGGAAGTCAGCAGTCCCCAAAACCAAAGCAATGCTACAGTATCAGGCCTCCCATGTCTCCACAGTTGCAGATTAGGGTTGCCAACTTTTCCAGTTTTGAGCTGGAGGGTCCCTGCTTCCTTAATGGAGATCTCTTAGCCAAACTGGAAAAGTTGGAAACCCTATCTCAGATGCAAAAAATGAAGGGCTGACAGTTTGCATTTATGGCATCCTCCTGAACCAGGAAGATGGAGAGACTCATCATTGAAGTTAGAGAGCAATGCCTGTACCCATTTCAGCAGCATTCTGCTTCAAAGTGTTACATTAGTCAAAAATGTGTCTTGGTGAAACAGTTAAATGGTCGATCATTTCCTCCATCAGAACTGTGATGCCAGCACACCTATCTGCCTGATATACCAGGCTGGTGTCACAATAACTAGTCTGTGCAAAGACTGGGGAACTGCATGAAAATCCATTGCATTGTGTGGACTGCTCATAAGTGGTACTATATGCATTTTTCTCTTTTAGGGCAAAATGGACTGAGCCAATCAAGGTGGCACTGAATGGAGGGATGACATTGTACTCAGTGCCCCCTCCAGCATCTGGTGCAATCCTAGCATTCATTTTGAATATCCTAGACACCTTCAATGTGAGCACAAGCCATGAAAGCATGACTTACCCAGAGCAAATCACTCTTTACCACAGAATGGTAGAAGCATTCAAGTGGGCATATGCACGTCGAACAGAGCTTGGAGATCCTGACTTCGCAAATATGACTGAGGTCTCTGAATGCATTCAATGTTGTCACTTTTAGTTCAGTTAGAAATCTAAGGTATTGATCTGACTTAATCAAATCTTTTGGTGTTCTGTAGTTGGTGAGGAATTTGACAAGTGAGACCTATGCAATGGACATTGCTCAGCAGATTAATGACAATCAAACTTACAATGATCCAGAACATTATGGTGCTGAAGTTTGGAGCCCAGAGGATAGTGGTACTGCCCATGTGTCTGTTGTGGCTCCCAATGGAGATGCTGTTGCCATCACCTCTACTATCAATCTATAGTAAGACATGCCTCCATTTCTCCCTTAAGTATGCTCATCCTCTTCAGTATCTGGTGTATTTCATGAAAATTTAGCTAAGGATGGTTTTAGCTTTCAAATTTTATGGAAATTGCACATTATATGAGGGTGGTTCAAATTTTACGTGGACTTTTGTTTATAAGAGGCAGAATTATGTATGTAGATTTAAAATGTTTACAGAGACTTTTGTGTTTATAGTGTTGATAACCCATTCTCACAATTGCATCTTTCCTACTTTACTACATAAGCTAAAAATCCAGATGGTGATTGAAGTAACAAGAAAGGTGAAACAGTGAATTGTTATGACATTTCTAATGAACAAGATAATAAAACCTGTTGAAATTTACGGATTATTGTCCACACAGTATAGTGATTATTGCCTGTCAAGGACATCCATATTTGACTGTGCAAAAGGGAAATGTGCACCCTTTTCAGTTTTGGAGCAGGCTTTCGGTCAAATGCTACTGGTGTGATCTTCAATGATGAAATGGATGATTTTTCTTCCCCAAACCTCACCAACTACTTTGGGATGCCACCATCCCCAAACAACTTCATAGTTCCTGGGAAACGCCCTGTATCATCCATGTGCCCAACTATCATCACTGACTCAGCAGGAAACCCACGTCTTGTTGTAGGAGCTGCAGGTGGCACTAGAATCACCTCAGCTGTTGCTTATGTTGGTTTCCTTCAAATATTCTGATGGTTGCAAGTGTCAGTACAGATGAGATTGCTAACCTGGGATTTCTTTCAGGTCATCATTCGAAACCTTTGGTTTGGGGAGGACATCAAAATGGCAACAGATGCTTATCGCATCCATCATCAACTTTTCCCTATGACTCTCAGTTATGAACAAGGCTTCCCACCGGTTAGTTGAGACATAGGAAATTATATCTCTTTACTCCTTAAGTAGGCCTGATATATTTCAAAATGTGATCTTGAAAATGATTTCTTGCATTCATCCTTGACCTTTTCTTCTTGCTCCAAGCTTTTTTTTTTTGCAAGCCACCTTTTAAATTCCTTAAAAATCATGAATTGGTTGAAAATCAAGAAGCATGAGGTGAACCATTGCTGTGGAAAGGTAATAATGTTATCAATCATATGCCAAAAGGAGGGGTCTGTAGATACTGCATATGATCCTTCCAAGGGGAAAGAAAACAATGATCTTAGGTCCTTGTCCTCTTTGGCTGTTTATGAAAATGCCTTTCTAAAAGTCCTTTAGGTGCCATGGCTTGTTTCCTGGAGGAAACGTTTTTATACTATTGTTGCTGAAATGCCTGACCTTTCAAGTCCTGCTGCTGATAGGTGTGTAGCCCTTGCTCACAAGAAGTTTGAACAGGGAAGAATCTGTCTAGAATCTTCCTATCCTCTATGGAAGGAGTAGCATCTTCCATTCTTCATGCTCATCCATCTGAGAATAAGAAAATGAAACTGCTCTGCATCTATGATCAAGATTCCTTGCCTCCTTGCAGGAAATAAGGAAAAAAAAAATCAAAAGCCTGACATGAAATGAAGGTGAGCTAATAAGTAGGTGGCTGGTGAAACAGCAGGATGCAAAGAAATGTATAAAGTAGGAGGAAAAGCAAAGAAAGTTTTGACTTTAGACAAAGAAAAGGATTGAATTGAAGACAAAATGGAAAGATAGGAAAGAAAGAAAGCCATGAGTACCTATGGCTCATAGGTACTCAGGATGTAGATCACAATGCGCATGTGCGTACAACCCAGGCTTTGAGCATGGTGCTTTGTCAGCATCCAGAGCTGTCAGTTTCCTACCAGCCTTCATGGTGGATGGTTTCAAACATGCATAATCCTCCATCCTCCTATCATCATTTCATGGGCATCATGATAGATTTTCAAACGTATCTAGAAAATTATGTTTTTGATGGCCGAGGACTGGAAAGAGATGCAATTTTGTTGACTTAGGTGAGAAAATGCGGGTCTCCTTAAATGAAAGGAGGCTCACTACTGGACTGCGCTTGCCCATCTTGTTTATCCTGCAGTCTCCCAGAAGGTATCCCTAATTATTATAGGAACCTCTCTAGCTCATTTGCCCTCCTACTTTGAGAATAAGGCCTCTTGCTATTGTGTGCTGGCTTTATGATTGCTTCCATTTTTTAGTGCTGTCTGCTTCTTGTGTTTTTGTCCCAGTGGATGCTTTGGATAGCTTCTGCATAAACTGGGGCGTTTTATTCCAGGGCATAATCGTGGGCTTGGAAGGACTTGGTCACAAAACAAAGGATATGGGTCCTAATGGATTTGGAGCAGCAAATTGCAACATCGCCTTCAACACCTCTTATGCTGAATACAATGCTGTCTTTGATTGGCGGAAAGGGGGCCAACTGGCTGGCTTCTGATTCTCATTGTATTGGGCATCCTTGGTTTCACATCCTATCCTCATCTTTACAACCATCATCTAGTCAAATGAATCTATCACTAGAGTACTTTTTCTGCAGGATACTTGTATTGGTGTGATATAAGGACTCCTAATCAGGGCAGCAGGTTTGACAAAGATCTTTGTTAATCCATTTTGCTTGTTTCCTCTGTGTCATGAGAGGCAGCTTTTACAGTCAGCAGGACCTAAATATGTAACCACAGGAGGATATGAATCTAACAGTTGTTCAACATTGATTCATATTCTGCATAATTTTCTGTTTCTTAAACACCAAATTAAAGTCTTGTTCTGTAGGTTTTTGAGAAGGAAAATGATCAACAGAGTCCGTCCCAGTACAGGAAACCAGGTATTGCCTCATTCAGTGCACCTTCAGGCATGAAACCTCTATTCATGTAGCCTTGAGAATTTTTTTTAATTGGTTTATTTTCCTTCAGTATTTGTTTCAAAATTGCAAAGTGTGTTCATTATAGGCTCGAAGTGAACAACATATTAACCAAACAACCATTATGTGTGCCTTCATTCTCTTTGGCAATGTTTTGAAATAGTTATCACTTGCATATTATTCTGAGTTTGTTGTTTTGCACTCAGTCATATTCAGGTGCCTATGGTGGAGTGTAATTTCTCAAGCCATAGGCTTATGCATTGCAAGAATCTCCAGGATACACAATGGTTCTTCTGTTATTCTTTGTTCACTGTTTTGTTTCTTACTGTGATTTTTGCCTGCCCAGCTTTTAAGTAGCCCATCAATTATGTCTCCAGAGGTTCACATATCATATTAACATGAGTTCTTAAGAATAGCTAAGATTTCCAGCCAGTTTCATGGAGTGTCTACTTTGGAGCTGCCATTCTGTGCTTAAGCATGGTGCTTATTTTGCCATATTTGCCTCATGCACGTGCCTGTGGTTTTAATCCCATTGTCCAGTCACAAAGTTCACCTCAAATCTGGACTGAAAATGGTCAGCAATTGAGAACATGTGCATATTGTGTATTACCTACATACTTAGCTTCTGAGCTTCTTTTGAGTCTTGGAAATGAACTTTGTGAGTTATCATATATGTTTTTGAAGGATGCAGCAAAATAAGGATTTATTGAAAGGACTCATTAACTCTGTAAAACAAACTTCTGTCATGGCACCGGTGTTACTAAGGCTGTTTTGAATGAATTTTCATCTTATTCTTGCAAATGAATCTTTTTATGCAGGGCAAGGGTTTTTTTCTTCTTGAAAGTTGATATTTTTTAAAGTCCTATGTGGTTCCCATTTATTGTATCTGAAATAAAGAAATGGGGTTCCTCAGTTCTTCAGATTGTCATTTTATGCAGTTGCCTTCAGCTCTCCCTCAGTGGCCCTTGTTTTGGAATTTGTTGCTGCTATTACCATGCGGTGTTACATTCATTTGCGCTGGTAGCTTAGTTGTTGCTGCTGATCTGACAGACTCTGGGTACGTTTGGCTTTCAGGAAAATATTGTCTGAACGGGGGACGAAGAGTAGAGCAGGCACCAACAGTATGCGCTATCTCTTTGGCTTTGACGGGTGCTACAAGCAATGAATGGATTGACCTAGGAAGTTCTTCGCTGTCAATTATGTAGATAGATGGGGGAAGCATATTTCATAACCGCAGAGCTGATACAGGTTTGAAAGATGTCAAGAAAGGCGACCAGCTTAACACATCTCTGTGATGCATTTCTAGCACGGTTAACAGCAGCGCCATCTCGTACCTCCCCACCCTGCGGAACGGAGAGGAATGGCTCCTTGCATGGGCCGATAAGTTGAGAAATTTGATTTTTTTTTTAGAAAACCATCATGCCAAAGCAAGGCTGTTAGCAATATTATTAAAAACAAATTGGATATTGAAAATGGACTGAAACCTACCAGGAGTTGAACGGAGAAGCTTCCGCGATGCGGGTGCATGTGTCTTGTCATTCGGCAGGGGCTCCAGTCTCCCGTCCATTTTCGTTTTCAGATTTTTTATGTACAGGGTGTCTAAAAAGGAGTTAACTCTGTAATAATGGACTTTTCTAGCATTATACTGAACATGAAAAAATGTTTGTGTCAGAAAGAAAAGAGATTAAGCTTAAAACCACATGAAAATTACTACTTCTGAAGTGAAATATGGAAGAGTGAAAATTAGACGCGAAGAATTTTACACACCATCACTAACGGACGCGTTCAAGGCGTGGTTAAGGTGTATTCAAGGCATGCAAGGTGAGATTGAGCGATGGGTCACCAAGATTATTTCATTCAATTAATGCTATGGCATTTTTGCTGAAAACTGCCAAAATCCAGCAATCCAATTTCGTCTGCTTGCAGTGGTTCTCCAGCTTGTCTGAATTTTGCTTATGGTAAACTTTGTCTTTCCATATCTCCCTTCTGAGTTCATTGATTTGCATGCAGTCTCCGGCAATGAAAAGTTTCATCTCTTCTCGTTTTAACTGCCTCAAAAATTCCATTAAAATTGTATATAGTGCAAGAAAAATCAATTCTTAAAGCGTTAAATTTTTTTGAGACTCCCTGTAGTTCCTTACCTTGCCCAAGCGGGACAAATTTACGTGGAATTTCAATGGGGTGAGAACATATCAGCTGATGCACAAAACAAGTTTCGTTAGAATGGCGCCTGCAAATGCAAAGTTAAAACATTACTAGCTTTTTTTTCCATACCCCTTAAAGAATTATAACCGAGTTAATAGTAAAAGTAATTAAGAAGGAATTGTCACCTGCCTCTGCCACGTGCAAGTGGAAGGAAGCGGTATGTTAGTAGGGTGGGTCAGGCTGACGAAAGGAGTCGTCGGATTGGGAATGAGGTTACCAGTTCCTTATCTTCCTCCCTTTTTCTCTCTCTCTCCTATTAGTTGTCTGCCAACACGATTATCACACTTTCTCCGGGTCTCTTTTCTTTTTGCACTCGGTACTTCGGCGATTTCATGAATGACATTTGGCTCTACTTTCTCCCTGCCTGTGAAACGTGAGATGGACGCTAAAGTCCTTGACGGAATTTCGATTTTTCGCAAAAAGATACGGGAAAATAATTTCAATACATACTCGAATTAACGAAAACATGGCCGAAACTTGTTTATCGAGATGCAAAAAAGACTTGGAATGCGCGCGATTTCGGCGAACCGTCACTCGAAAATACGATTTTCATCGCCCTGCAAAAGGGAAATTCTCGCGTCATCGCTACAAAAAAAAAGATCCAGTCCAGTCATCATTCAAAGGAAGACTACCCTCCCGGGTAGGGCGTTGCGGTATGCAATACATTTCTCGATAGGTATACTGTGGCTCAACACCGCAGCAATGTATTGATGATACCAGCGGGGTGGGGGGTTTCAGTTACGAACTCCCAGAAGAAAAAAAAAAACACGAAGAGAGCGAGTTTTTCTGCAGCGATTGCGTGAAGCTAGTCGCTCATCCTTATGCCATTCGATTGAATGGCAAAGGAATTCGTCCGTTTCAAGCCAAATGGATAGATTCGGTAGGCGTGCCCAGAATAATACCGGGATTAAAGTTGCTGGGAGGACTCAAATTATGGATCTCGGAAAAAAGAAGCATCATGGAAGAGAATTTATCTTGTGCGTGGCTGCGCGTTTCATATTGGTATTGAGTGCTCAGGCTCACCAATCAGAGGACACAGTCGAGGCGAAAGTGCACCACAAATGACGGATCTTGGTCCTCGACAGGGGTGGTCATCTGAGATACCGGGAAATTTCCCAGGGGGGGAACCCCTTTGTCTGCATAATAGGGGGAAGGGAAATTTGCGGGGGTCCTTTGCCAGCAATTTCCCGGCGGGGCCTATATGTCGCCAGTCCGACCCTGGTCCCTGAGTCTGGATTAAATACACTCCGGTAACTTCCAGGAAGGTTTTCCCCGGGCGGTGGGCGTCATTGTGGATGGAGATGGGGGGTGTAGTTGACAAAGTACTGTATTTTATTCTTAGAAATTGCTCCTGGTATGTGCCATGGCGGCGGTATGATCATGGGCGGTATTCCACGGTTCCCATACCTTGGCAATAAGACCAATAAATGTAGAAGGGGTCGGTATGATTATCATGAATACCGAATACCGCGGTATGATGAAAATACCGGTAAATCGCAACGCCCTACGTCCGGGCATCACTTCGTAGGGACAACCCTTCCAATTCCTTCGGTTCTGGACCCAATCAGCTCTTTCGAAGTTATCTCAGGAGGGAATCACCAGGGCAACTTCCGTCTTGAAATATGATGAAGGGGAAAATATATAAATTTGACCATTTGAAAGTTCTCCTGTAAAGAAAAGGAATAAGCTCCCTCTCCTGGTTGCGCCCTTGATTCCACCTCTTTTATAACTATGTGAAAAAGTCGCAGCTCTCTCGAACTCGCGCCCAAGTTCGACCCAAAGCACGTAAAAGTCTCAGAGCCCAGAAATTATCAAGGGGAATTCTCGTTCCCGAATCGCATGCCCTGAGCCGTGACACTGCCCGCTTTTCCTCAAGGTGATCGGGAACGACCTGCGGGACTGGAAGGGGCATAACGTGACGGAGAGCGAGTCCTCGGCCGTCGTCGTCTCCATCCTGAAGGACGCACCGGAAGGAGACTACTTGAGCGTGTTCGACTGGAGGAAAATCGGAGAGACCGCCGGCTATTGATCCTCTCCCATTTGTGAACAATTTCAACAATGAACACAACTATTCCTTCATTATTTTGTCTTCATTGCATCCCACGCACAAAAATTGTCCCCCGATATCCATCTTTATTAATGACGCTCACTTCCCAACACTTACGCCACCTGACGTTAGCCCCTCACATTCCCACGGGACAGCCCCATTAAGCGGCTTTAAACGCATCTCTCTTCAATAATGCAGCTTCGTCTTCGATTCGGTTCGACAGCGTTAATTGAGACTAGAAGAGCGGCCTGAGGAAAACGTCCTTGCAGTCCACCCGTCCCGTTCCACCTGCCCCAGTCCACCTGTCCCACTCTACCTGTCCATATCTCCGAGTGATCAGGAATCTCTCTCCACCTTCAGTGATCTCTCCGTGACAACCCTTATTCCCTTCGTGACAACACTTAATCAGTTTTGGGTCTAACACTTCCAAAAAACGATTCAATACTAGGTCAGTTTCTCACGAGAATCTTTGAATTACTTCAGAATTACTTCAGAAACCACAAAATTATTGGTATTTTCTTTATTATTTAACCCTTAAAAAAAATACTTTTCTGGTCCTCATGTCACGTAATATTTTCAAATATCTGCATCGTTTGATAATGCTGAAAACTCCAATTTGCCTCAACATAAAAAAATTGTCAAATTCTTTGATTTTCTCAACTCAGCCCTGAACTTTGCATCGGGAAACTAAACGACTACAATCCAAAACCGCAAAAAAATGATCTGACATCTGATGAGACATGGGCCAGAACCGCAGAAGCACATATACCAAAACCACAGGGCAAGTGGGAGGGTTGCTGTACTTGATAGTGTCGAGGGAACTGATCTCCACTTTCACCTCGCAATGCACTGGATGCCCTAAGGCGAGAGCGTCGCCGCGTTCGAGTGAGCGTGCATGCATGCCATGCAATCGGACCAAAACCTGGTAAAGGCGAGGGTTGCATCATATGCGAGAATTACAAGTACAGGAGAGCCAACCCGGGGAAGAAAGACACTTTGGGGGTATAGAAGTCGCTAGGATTTCCAGGGAATAGTCGACAAGAGTCTTGGTGAATTGAAAATCATGAGTAGCTTCCGAAATTAAAGTTCACAACCACTTGACCCTGGGTTCGAGCGATGTAGAAAGCAGCGGCTTCGAGTGTAAACGAAGAGCAACTGAGGATCTCACATACCGACCAAATATAATGCCCTAAAAAAGGGTCCTCTAAATGGTAAAAAGGCCCTCTATATCGGGACTTGAAAATGCATAAGGCGTTCCAAGTACTGCGATCAATAGAAAATGTAGGAAAATTTTAATTTCACAGGGAATTCTTCATGGCTTCCGACTACAATAGATTTAGTGTCAGTTGTGAGTTTTAAATTCAGCAACACTGGCGATTGTGCTCTCGGACATGATTTCTTGCGACTATGGATTGCATATTCTGCGGTTTTGGAAAGTGATTTTATGGTCTTGAATCTTTTCGAATTTTTAAAATTTATTTATGAATGAGGTGTACTGTACCGATCGGCTTCACTCGGCCCGGCGCCTTTGCCCTTTCGCGCCGTCGATTATTGGAAATCCACGGCGTCTCGAGCCGCTATTCCCTAAAAAAAAAAATCGGCGATGACTCATCTCGCCAAATACGATGCTGCACCGACCAAATACAGACGCGACCCAGCCCAAGTACTCCGCCCACCTAAGTAGGAATGAGCCCAACCCTGAACCTCTCTGAGCTGAGCTCATTCTCACTTTTGCTTGAGCGTTACTCATTCATGAGAGTCGATGTTGAGTATTAAAAAAAATGGTTGACTCGAATGAAAAACACAATGTTCGATATCGTCCAAGGCAACAGCCGATTTTATGGTCGTGGTCTTAATATGTCGCTCACAATTATTGCCGATCAACGAGTTTCTTTGGACAAAAGGTCGAACTAAATCTCGTGATGGCGCTCAAATGCAATACTTCCCCTTTTTAGATCTTAATGTAGGGTATAAATTAACGCCTAAATGAAACCATTAACGTCTGGCAGTGAAAGTGTTAGCACTGCATGCTGTTGGCGGGTGGCAACGATTCCATCGGGTGTATACGATGGAATCGGTGCTCATCCGCCATGTGCTGAACACCCGCCATACGATGAAGAGTCCACTCTCCGCTGATCGTGCAAACTTGCTATGGAAATACGTGTGTCATGTCGTGACTTCAAAACCGCGAATGAAAATGGAAAAGGGAAAATTATCCGTGTCTGGAAGCACGGAGATTTTGCCGAGACGCTCCAAAGGTCCCCGTCCTCCGCGAGGTCTGCACGCGTCGAAGGCGAGGATGATGCTGAGCGGAGACTCGGCCCGAGGCGACGGCGAGAGCGAAGAGGCAGGGAGGGCGAGTCCGTTAAATCTCTCGTCTCAAATTCATCTCTAATCGTTGTCCCTCGATGGGAAGGGTTTGCAAAATTATGCTTCATCGCCTTAGGGAGTACTTTTCCAATATTCTCGTTGGTTTTGACGAACGATGCAGGTTTTTCGCAAACTTTCATTATTTTGTCGCGATCCTTTGGCAACCCTGGCTCGGAGCCAGGCGTTCCGCGTCCCCTCTGCCTTCACTCAAGGTTAAAGCCTCTCGGGTAGGGGTGTACAACTCAAAAGGCTGTGAGGGCCATTTGCGATTTTTTCTCACCTACCGCAGGCTTGTAGTCTGGCTGATCATAGCTGTGGCCAACAGGGCAGGAGCCATTGTAGCACTTACAACGCCACCAGTCATGGCGGGCCACGAGCAAGGGCCTCGCGGGCCGCATGTTGTGCACCCCTGCTACAGGGGCTCTACTCAAGGTCGGTCCACGCGAATGTGTCAGCTCTATCACGCCACCGGCCTCGCCCTTTAATAACTTCTAACAGGAGGTGACGAGGTTCTTTGTTTTTTTTTTTCTTACCCAATTGTTCGACCCCCGGTTCCAAGAACGAGCTACAGCGAGGCTCCACGCCTCGTCTAGATGATCGGGATGCTCCTTTCAGCACCATAATGTGCATAAGCTTTAAGGTACTTTGGAAGTGATGGACAGGCTATCAGCCTCTCTACGCACCTATTGGTAAAAGAGTAATCGCGTGTTTCATGTTCTTTTTAAAACATCCGTTTCCCGTCTTCGTTCTGGCCAGGGTCTCGAACGGACGAGAATATTTCTCGGCCGAGAAACACGCCGGGACTGGGACTTTGTTCCCTTGAACCGGACTTGCTCTTCATCATCTACATGCGAATGCTCCAAGATGTTATGTCCCCCCATAAAGGAGACCGGTCTGTTGAAGTAAGCAGTTACATGCGATCCAACGTGCGCTGGTCTCGCCTGCACCGACCGGAGCTCACGTGGAAAACATTATCGATGGACTCGCCGACTCGAAAGTCCTCCGATTCCGTGCGAGAGGAACTCCTGCGTGATTCCTGGCGGATCGTAGGGAATACAAGGACGCCGAGAACGCCCGTTACGCGAATGCAACGCGCTCTTTCGCGTCGAGAGAAAACTGGGAGGTCCCTATTCGAACCCAGCTTCTCGAGAGTTCGACTTAGCCCGACGGAACCGGGCCGAGAACATGCGGGAGACGCGCGAGTGGGCTGGACTCAGAGGAGTGAACCTGGAGTGGGAGGGGGGAGGGAGGAATGATCCCTACGAACGCTTATCGCAGCATGACGGCGAGGAAATTCAGAACGTGGGCGCGCCTTTGGTCCAAGATCATGTCATCCGTTATGAAGAAGAAAAAATGGCTCAACAAAAGATTTCCAGCTGAAGCTGCAAGCCAATTACGTTGGACCACAAGGTCATTCGTCCCGAGGAGAATCCTCGAGGAGCGATTCTTCGTCGTTTCTTCCTCAATCCAAGATGACGAAAAGAAAGGAGGGATGGGGGGGGGGGGGGGGGGGGGGGAAAACCTGGCCAGAACGAAGACGGGAAACGGATGTTTTAAAAAGAACATGAAACACGCGATTACTCTTTTACCAATCGGTGCGTAGAGAGGAGTCTAAGTCAAAGGCCGCACGAGCACCTGACTTTACGTCCCTTTTTGTTGAGGGCGAGCTCGCACGATTCTCACTTTCATTTGTACTTGAAGGTTTTCATGGTCTGAACTTCCCTTTTTTCCAACACGAATAGAGAAAGCGTTTCTCTACTTCGCTCGAGAACTAGCGGAGGAAAAGGGACGATCGACCGTGCCCAACCCGACCGTCACCGAATCCCCTGCGAAGAATCATCGCGAGGACGAGAGGATGAAGGTATCTGACGCCAGTTTGCCGTGGAGGGGGAAGGTGTCGCCCCGAGCGAGTCTACTCGTCGCTCCCGGGGGGAAGGAGGACGACGCCGACGTCCTCTTCGCCGCATGGCGGCCGATACTCCTCTTCCAGAGGGCCATCGGCATGCTCTTTCTTCGGAATCTCGGCTCCACGGACAGTTCCAAGGTACGGCATACATGGAAGCACCTTGAGGTTAACCATGCGGTCATATTTTAGGCATTTTTTAGGTCGTAGAATTCGTCTGCCTTTCAGCGATAACTCTCCCAATTATCACGTCTTGGTCTGCATGCTCCAAGCCCGTTTTTTAATTTTGAGTTCCTGGGCACATCTTTTCTCCCACTCCAGAGGTTCCCACCACGATGGAATAAATTCGTAATTTTTTGCTGTATTGTCGATTGAATCTGAATCCTAAGTGCAAGGGAAAAACCTTTCTTGGAACCTCAAAACCTGTCGTCGCGTGAGACTCAAACACTGCCCTTCTGACGTGGCCCTAAAATAATGGAGGGGTCACCCCACACGCGACGCTAGAACGATTCCTTGAGCCCGACCGACGCGGTCGAAGTTGGGGAATGACCGATGTCCACAGGTGGGATTACCGATGTTCGCAGGTGGAATTCCGGTGGTGGCACCCGGGGATGCTGTGGAGCGTGGGGGTGTGCGGCTGGATGATCTTCATCACCTCCGCCTACTTCCTGGAATTCATGGAGAAATACCAGAGGGACACCGAGGCGGTTTTGTTCACCTATGCACGGAGTTTCTCCGGGGTGATGTTTTATCTCCACTGCTCGGCCATGTTCGGGATCTTCCTCCTGCGGTCCTCCAGGCTCCCGCACCTCTTGGGAGCGTGGAGGAGGGCGCTGGCGGCACTCGGACACCACGGACGGGATCTCACGCTCAGGAGGTAGTTCGTCTCGAGTGGTCCCAGAGGTCGGAGGGTGGAATGGCCTGTGATGCGGGGGTTTCGTTTTGTCCAGGGATTTTCTGCTCATCACCGTGGGTATCCTCATATCGATGGCGGGGGAGAATGTTCTTTTTCACTTCTTCGTGTACAGGGACATAAAGAATTCCATTTTAGTCAGGGAAGGCAAGTTCTTTCTGTCTTTCTTCATGGATTGCTTGAAACTCGATCGCATCCGAGTACTTTTTCCCGCTTGATATTCTTTTTCTGCTTCCGGTAATTAGTTGTATTCAAGCGACTTCCTCTTTGTACGGTTATAGGTTTCACCAACATCAGTACAGCAATGAAAACTCTGCTGGAGCGAGAGCACAGGGCAGTACTGAATAAGTTCCCGGACTCAGACGTCCTCCCCTTCCTCCTCATGACCTTTCAGGAGGTTGCTCTCGTCGGATTCAACATGGGAGATATCACCATCATTCTCATGAGGTGCGCTTGGCGACACCACTAGTGGCACAACCACTGGTGGTGGGGGTTCAGGGGGTCTGAACCCCCCCCCACTGAGAAGTTGAGGGATAGTCATGATAGTATCCCTCAACTTCTCCATCATCCTCTTCCACAAGGGGGGGAGGGACGGATGTGCAGAAGGATATCATGAGCAAACGACCTGAGAGCGAGGCTGGAAAGGCACAAAGATAGGAGGTGAAAGGTGGAGGTTATGCAGGTCACATGTAGTCACTCCCTTTAATAAAGTGAACCAGTCAAGGAAGCGTCCTGCACATGCAACGCTACTGAATTTTTTTCTGTAAACGGAAAGATAATGATTCAGATGAAAGACCTGAATTACGTACGTGTTAACAAATTTCCAGTTGCATATCTGCTCAGTTAAATTTGGGCTGAATCCGAAATTAATTTAGTTAATTATGAGGTTTTTTTCAGGTATACTTTTCAGTATACCTGAAAGCACACCTGTTTTCAGGTGTGCTTTTATCATTTAGAGTTTAAATTCCGTCTCCACCATTTCATAACATTTTCCTTCGTTTCATTTTCTTTGTTCTCGTGTTCGCGCCGTTTTGCGTTTTTTTGCATATCTCTTCTGATGATTTGATAACGCATTCTTGCATTCGGAGACATTTAAAGGAGACAGGTCATGAGAACTTCGAACCCCCCCCCCCCCTCCCTCAAACTTTAGGGGTGGTTGCGCCTCTGGACACCACAGGTCCAGGAACGAGGTCCTGTGAGAGATGAGTGATTTTTTTCCGTCTCCGGCAGTCGTGCCATTTGCAAGCGCTACAGGTTGTTCCGTTGCTATCTGGAGAAGCAGATCAACGAAGGGCGGGAATTGGTGGAATTCCCGGATGAAAACGCGAAATGTTGGAAGGCTCTCCGAGAGGATCATCTGCACCTCTTGAACATCCTCGACGAAACGGATTCCTTTCTTTCCCCTCTCATCTGCTTCTCTTACATGACCAACATCTTCTTTACTTGCCTCCAGGTGAGTCCCATCGCAGGACTCTCCCCCCCCCCCCCCAAGATTCCCTCAGGACTTCCTAAGCACTTCCGGTTCCCCCAGCTGTACTTGAGCCTGAGCGGAGGAAAGGGCGAGTACCAAGGGGATCCGGTGAGCATGGCGTATCTGGTTTGGAGCTTCGTCCACCTGCTAACTCGAATGCTGGTGGTGAGCCTAATGGCTGCGAACATCGACCAAGAAGCCTATCGCCTCTCGAAGCTCATCCTTCACGTCCCCCAGAACTACTTCTGCAAAGAGGTAGTCCATGCTGGCACGTGACAGCCGTTTCTCTCGAGCGATTCCCTTCTTAACCTTTACATATCGCAGACCTTTAAAGGTGATCCTCTGCTTCGGTATCGCGTCGACAGAGCACGCATGAATTAAAATTATTAAATGACTGGATGGAATCATAGGAGGTGCCGCAACCTGCACCTAACTGCCCTCCAGTGGGAGGGACCGAACCGAACAGCTATAAGCAATCCCGAAGTGTCTCAAGCATTTAGTTATTTTCCCCTTTCCTCCGAGCGAGATGGCACAGGGTGCTCCAGTCTAACCCTCACAAGCAAAACCTGCACCGATCATTTGATTCCTTGCATACTCACTTTTGCATTCTCGTCCCCAAACACTAAGTCGTAAGATTGTGCTTACAGATCGAGCGATTGGAGAAGTCATTTAAGAGGGCTCAAGGACTGAGTGGAGCGGGGGCATTCCTCATCACTCGCAGCTTCGTTCTCGGAGTCCGTCTCTCCTCTATTTATTTTTAATACGTTGATGGACATAATCAATAGATATCATTTCCATGCCTACACAAAAGGAAGATGTCCATTACTTTCAAAGGTCTACCGCTATCTTCGTGAACGACCAACTCGAGGACATCGGCAGTACAAACCTCACCTTCACTATGTAATGTATACCTAACATATCTTCGAAGGACATATAATTCTGGTTTAGTCCATCAACGTGTTAACCCTCTTGCTTCTACGGCACTTTTCTAAGATGTTGTCATTTTCGTTGGAGCAGGCGTTCGGAGCCATCTTCACCGTAGAAGTGATTCTCCTGCAGTCATCGAATTCGAAATGATTTTCTCTTCACAACCGAACAAGAACACTGCTCTCTTTTTTTAGACTTAAATTCATTGAGCACCCAATCGATAGGATAATATTTTGTCATGGTTGTTTAGTCACGTTTAGCATTACAGTCATTAGGGTGGGATGAAGGTCGGTGATGAGGCATTTCTCAACGATGCAGGGTGTCTGAATCGTAGGATAGAAAGAGGAATGAAATCAGGCGACACGGGAGAAGACGTGAGATTCGTGTATTGAAAGATCCAAAAGGAAGCGAAGAAGTGAGAATAGAACGAAGACCGGCGAGGTCAAAGAGCATGCGGGTAAAACACCACATATACAGAAGATAATCGTGGACGACACGGTTCACCGTTCGCCTTCGCCTCTGTCTTTCACTTTCGCTGGCACTGCGGCGCCCTTCAGTTCTCACACTTGACGCCTGCGTCCAGAAAGTCCAAGCACAGTCGCTTCACGGACACCGGCCAGACCCTGCGATACAAGACGGACCTGTCAGGTAACTTCAGTGCCTGTCTTTCCCGAGAGATCGGAATGATTGCTTCAGAAGGATGGATGCTCTTTTCTGAGACAACTACTTTAAAAACTTGTCGCTCGTTGAGGAAAAAATCAAATTGTGTATTTCCATAGCAGATTCATAGACCCTCTCACGAAAAATATCTCGTCGAAGATTGCAACGTTACAGCGTCCCTCAACCTGTATTATGTCGTACCCTTCAGCTACTCTTCCCCTTCTACACCCTCAACTGCCTATTATATGCCTTAACTGCGATAACTATCTGCCAATTGTTCTGAATAAAAACATTAAAATTTCGAGCGCAACTACGATAAAATCTTAAGCTGTCGTTAAGATGAATTCAGGATGACCCACTTGGCCACTCGGTATAGGATTTCCCCGTATGAAGGAACGAAGATGACTTCTCTATCGCGGAGGACCCCATCGATGATCGTCTCCACTGCTTTCTTCGGCGACGTGATGGGAGTCAAGCTATTGAATCTACGCACAATGGGAATACATCAAATCGTCAATGAGGATATTCACTTCATCTAATAAATAATGACTTGATAAAACTCAATAGTGACAGACGTGAATAATTGAACGAGAAAAATGAAACCTGATGCGGGGTGCCTGGACGAGTCCCGTGCTGACGATGAATGGATGGACGGTGGTGAACTTCACGTTACTGTTGGAATGGCTGTAGCGGACCTCCTCGTGAAGGCTGTCCATCAGACCTTCGGGGACAGCAGGACGCAGTTGGGAAACGGAACTCAAGCGCAGTGGAAGACGAAAGCGGAAAGGAAAGCATACCGGTGACGGCGAACTTGGAGGAGGAGTAGGGGACGATGAAGGCTGCGCCTTGGACGCCGGCTGCGGAGGACATGGCGATCACGTGACCCTTCTTCATTTCCAGCATTTGCGGCAGGAATGCCTCCAATGTCTGCTCCGAAGATGGACAAGTCACGGGGTAAAGGAGGACTGCATTCCCAAAGCCATGTTTACCTTGAAAGTCGTCCGCGGTGAAATGTCGGCTGTCCATCATGACTCCCGGAGATCATGACGGTTGGCTATCACGATTACCGACGGACAAAATATCGAAGAGTACTCGATCAAAGTTTAAATGTTAGTGTCTTCCTGTTATGATATTCTAGAGACAGCATTATCGATGCAATTCATTACTCTTCGCTTATCAACTATTAATAACATTTCCTGGCTTTCCATATACAGTATATTGCTTCCCATCGTCGAATGCTTGTCAAGTGGCCCGTCTGCTTCCCACGCGAACCCGGCCGAAAACTCACGTAGAACTGGGAGAAGACGTTGACGTTGAATATACGGTGCAACTCCTTATGCGAGTGCTGCAGCAACGGCTTGCACGAGATGATCCCCGCGTTGTTGAAGAGCATCGTGACGTCCCCGACCTGATCCCTGACCCGCTGCGCCGCCGCGAGGACTTGCTCCCGGTCCGAGACGTCCACCACGTCCCCGACCGCCTTCCCGCCGCCTTCTTCGATCTCCTTCACGGTCTCGTTCAGCCCGTCCTGCCGCAGTCATGGTTCGGTCCAGAGTCAAAAGCTTAAAGGCATATTCTCGGAACGCATGGAAGAAATTCCGTACTTGGCTGATGTCCCAGCAGACGACGATGGCACCTTGTTCGCTGAGTTTCAGCGCCATTTCCTTGCCCATGCCGTGGGCTGCACCCGTCACCTGGAGGAACGAAAGGGATCGAGGCCGATACAACGAAATCGATTCGCCCGAAGGTCGAAATCCTTTTTCTCTCGAGACCCCCTTCTTCGGACGAAACGGCCACGAAACGACGAAAACGATGCGTTTGTGCGGAACGCATTCCTTTCGACGCGCATTTCGTCCGCCCCGAGGCTGGAAAGATGGCCCATTTCCCCCCACCCGCACCACTGACCTCATTTCTCTTCCATCGAACCGCTCTCGTTTCCGAACGGGAGCTCCCACGAAAACGAGAGCCGCGTGCCAAACGAGCGAGTCCAGAAAGCGACCCTGGGGCTACCGATGGGGAATACCCACCGACCAAGGACGCCCAGCATGAGAGTCGGGGAAATCCGGCGCCGGACAAAACAAACTCGCCGATCCTCGGGGTTCGTCATCGAGGTTTGTCATCGGGACTCGCCATCGAGGCTTGTCATCGAGGTTCGTCATTGGGACTTGCCATCGAGGTGACATGAAAAAGCGCGAACGAGCAAAATCAGGATGTAACCTTTCGTAGAGCAGACCCATGGATCCCTGGTCCCCTGGTCCTTTTCCCTTCCCGATTTGGGAATGGCTCTTTCTCTGCCATCACCTTTCTCTTTCATTTCTCTCTCTCTCTCTCTCCCCCACCGATGTTGTCTATAACTGCATAATGTCTGACCGTCGCCCATGGGCATGCTCGGCTGCGTTTCACCGAAAGCGAAAGTGAACATGTGAGGGGCCAGGCCCATTTCACAACGCTTCCTCCTTCATCCTCGCAGACTTTTCCCTCTTTTTTTTTTCTACTCTCGTATGCAGAGCTATGCACGGATTCAAATAAAACATTCCAACGGTGCACAGATAACGGGATTCGCGACAAGCCAGAAAAGCAGGGGAAAAAGAAGCAAACACCCATCAGACCCACGTACGACCTGCCACTACGGATGGAACCAGGCCGGAAAGAAAATCTCCTTCTCCAAATTAGCACCGATTCGACACGCGAATTGAACTCACGAGTGCGATTTCCCCGACGATGCATTTCCTGGCCCGCGAGATGAAGAATCGATAGAAGGCTTCGAGGAACAACCACGCGGACCACACCAGCAGCTGGATCGTGTCCGCCACCACGATGAAGATGTTGTACGTGTTCACGATCATCTTCGAACCGAGGGAAGGGGGGGAGGGGGGAGGATGACGATGACGTCACGGAGTGCCTCGAGATCCGACGAGGGCGAGCGCCGAGCGAGGAGTGAAGACGCGGCGAGCGAGTCACTCGGTCTGAGGATCCCCGAGGATGAAAGTCGGAGCTTCTGCGATGCGGCGATGGAAGAAACGAGGGAGGAAAAAGAAGTTCTGGCTAAGAAGTCTCTGGAATAGCTGATGCCTCGAGGGTTTCCTTTTTATGACTGGCGAGGACCGATAGAGGGGAAATATGCTGGGATGTGCTATCCGGTCTCAAGGAGCAGACGCCGATCGTGACGTCACGACCCTTCGAGATGGAAGGAAAGGGGGAGAGGGATCCCCCGAGCGTGATCGAGTCACACGAGCTTACGTAATCAAGGTCAGCGGAGCGAAGGCTGTAAGGGAGAGCGTCCTTTCTCACGTGACATCCAAGAGGCATATTTAAAAAGGGTGGATCGGCTGGCGACGCCAAGAGGCAGGGCGAAAACCAGGAACCGATCGGGGAGTCTCCGTTCCCCTCTTCCTTTCCATTCACGGAAGGAAGACAATGAAGAAAGAGAGACTCGGGGCTTTCTTCCTCTTCTCGTCCAGTCCAGTCAGGTGGAGACTTTTCATTCCTTCCGCGACTCCTCCGATCCTCCCCGATCGGATTCTCGGCGGAACGGGAAATCGAAGGAGAAAGTCGTTTCGCCTGCAGATCTCTGCGAGCATTTTTCATTTATATTTTCGCTTTTTTTTCCCCCTACACTTCGCCCTCGAAACGAGACCGGGAAGTGTCCTTGCCGCGGCGTCACGAGGGGGCAAAAGGGGTTGGGAAACACCGAGCCACCGGAGGCGAGCCACGAAAATCGGAGCTTCCGACCCACCGAGGTCTGACGAAACATCCGAGGTCCGAATACTAAAATCAAATAGATTTCCGAGAAGAAGCAAGATATTTTCTTTCCAGTTGTTTTTTTTTTTCCTTTAACAGGATTAGGCGGCTCGGAGTGGTGGGACGGGATCGCCGAGTCTTCGCTCCGAGTGAAAGTTTCTCAACCTTCCCGTCGAGCCCATTATTAATCATCTCGTGCCTTCATCGAGCCGCACGAACGATGCAGGAAACCGCGATCGCGCGGTTTCCACGGACGAGTTCGAATTCAGCGCATCGGCGATCTCGCTTTCCAGACTTTCAAAATTCGGCACTTCCGACGTTTCGCGCCTCGGAAGAGGATCCGGCCGGACCCGCCCCGACCCGCCCCGATCCACGGGACACACTCGAAGGTCGTGCCCCCATTCCAGCGTGACTTCCTCATCGCGCCCGTCGCTGGAAAGTCCGTGTTGGTCACGGCAGGAACGAGGCATGCCGAGCCCCATCCAAAGCGTTATATCATCCATCGCTTCTCTTTTTTTTTTCTCTCTCTCTCTCTCTGCATTCGTTCCAAACCGACCCGTCCGTCGTACGTGACCGTCCTGCGCGCGGATCGCGATCGCTTTTTGCATTTTACCTTCGGACGCAGGATCTGTGGGTTCTGGGTGCTGGGTATGCGACCCGAAAGAACGCGAAAATGCAAATCGTCGTTTGGAATTTTTGCGGCGCGGGAGAAACGCGAGCCAGACGAGACGGAATGCGCAAAGCCCACAACTTTTCCCCACTTTTTGCCGCCGCATCTTCTCGCAGGAATGGATCGTCTCGTAAATCTTCGGGATCGTTGCGAGGAAAAAAAAGGGGGGGAAAAAGAAGCGGGACTAATTTTTCCTCCAATAAAACTCTGGGAGCTTCATTCAAGAATCGTTGCGATTATTAAAACTGATAAATATTAATAGATGGTTCTAAACAGTTTGCGAAGCAAATGGCAAAATAAATAGTTGTAAAGTGACGACATGCACATTCTTTCCCAACCTCCTGTCTAAATACATGAGTGACCTCCTGGAAGTCATATCTTGCTGTCAGTGGGGGGACAACGGACATTTTAGCCCCGCCCCCGCCCCTTCCTTTCCTCTCTTCGATGATATCCTGGCTAGGAACATTTGCTTCCTTGAGACGAACCATACCGTCTACGCGGGAAGTCGTAGGTGAAGGCGCTGAAGCGTAGGGCTCGCATTTATCGCTACCACTCGGCCACGCTGTAGATATCTGTCTTTTGGGGCGTCTATATTTTTTATTTACGGTTTTGAGGATTTTAGATCTTCATAACTCCCTCAATCGCGTGCAACCCATAAAATGAGGGTGGGGTGGGCTCCAGTCGTCTGGGACGCGGCCGAAACGTCCGCCACTGCGATCCGTTATCGGGGGAAGATGCGATCGCGATGTCTCGCGGCGTATCGGGCATCCCTGGCATCTCCTCGCGCGAGACATCGGGCATCCCTGGCGACTTCCAGTTCGTTTCTCGTCGACGTTCTTGCCTCTCTCGGCGGCAGGCACGAATCACGATCGCACGTTTGGGCGAATTCCCCTTTTTTTCTGCGAGAGAGTCTCGTTTAATTTGGGATTCGGAGGTTCTTCTTTGCGTACCGTTCGGTAACGTTCCGTGCCTGGATCGTGGTGGCACAGGATGAGCACGTAGCGGGCTCTGTTAGTGGTTGCTTGCGCGGTGAAAGTGTCGGCCATGAGAGTCGAGGAGGGACGAGGAGCTGGTCCGTCTACCCCCCCCCCCAAAAAAAAACCAGAAAACACATAAATGCACGAGAGCAGTGTTTAGAGTTCCCGAGCTCCTTGGCACTTTTTCCATCCACGTTACGCTTATGGTTCCTACTCTCTGCGCGTAGATGCTGCGAAAAATAAGGATGTTAAAGATGCTCCGTCCGTATCCTCGCCTGGCTTTGTGGGGCGACGCCGCGACCGGAATGACCGGACCACCGCGAAGTCGTCCGGAAGGAACTCGGAGCAGTTCCGATTCGGAATGGGTTTAGCATAGGCATTTAAACGGCTCGATCGGAAGCGCAGTCCAAGACTCGCTCCTGGGGGGTGAGGGGTGAGGGGGTTGGGACCGAGATACTGGCACCAGCTGCAATTCGTCCGGATCGGATGATATCCGGGATGTGAAATGGATACTGAATAACTTTGCGGTCAGTGTCGATTGCCTCAAGTCTGCGCCGAGTGATAGGTGTCGCGTGATTGGACACGGGGAAAATGTGGATTCCCAGGAATGAAGATTTTCGGAATGCAAAAAAAGAAGCTAAATGAAGAATCATCACTTGCGGAAGGAAGGTGCGAAATGCAGAGCATGATGTCACTTCTACTTTTGAGAGACGGCCCCGCCACCCATTGCGTGATGATTCCGGTTCCTCTCTTGGAATCAGTTGGCATCGTGCCTCGACCATCGTCGCGAGTCGAATCTTCGAATATTCTCGAGTCTTTTGCCCATCTTTTGCCCCTTTTTGACTTTCCTGCGATCAAGGCTTCCGGCCTGTTTGCAGACGGAACCACCGACCCATAACAGGTAGGTCACACACCGCGGCTTCGCTTGACTTGCTCGCCGATCGCAGATTCATTTCTCGTATTCGATCTGGATCGTCGACCTCTTGCTTCGTACAGGATCGTGATTCTGAGAATAAAAACGGGCCGGCAGAAAAGATGAAACCGTCACGTCCGTTTTCGATAAGGAGGGATTTTTCTAGATTTTTTTCATCCTTTCCAGTGTCGCCGGTGCCTTTTCTTTTTTCTCAATCGGAGAACGAATGAGACGGAATTATCGAGCTCGAAAACCGATGACCCCGATTCCACACAATGGATGAAGATGACGGACTGCTATTTTCTTACATTTGCCCAATCTGATTTCCTCTTCTTGTTCTTCAAGCATCTGACTCACAAGCGTATGGATAAGCGGATGGAAAAATTGGGAGGACACGAGACAAGGGGGGGGGGGGGGGCCGACCCCAGCTAACAATTTTTGTTGGCCCCGACAAACCTGATGACTTTTTTTTGGGATCAATCGGTGCTAATGACTCCCCAGTCTGCACCGGGAATCCAATGCTGCATCAAAATCAACTAAAATTTTTCTAATTTTCCCTTCCGTTTGTCTTTACACCTCTTGCTTCACCTCTTAAATTCCACGGTGCACCGTATAGATCCCTTGTCCACTTTATTTCTCGATCGGCCACCGGCGATGCTCATGTCAACGCCACATTGCACGAAATAGACTGACGGTAGGAGTGTTGCCGTTTTATAGGCGGACCGAATGGCTCCGCCTGCCATCGATGAACCTTCTATTTGCGACGTCATAACAAGGTGCGTTCACTCAGGAAAGGGAGCAAGAGCAGCTAGGCTTTCTGCACAAAAGCAAAAAGATCACCGTCGAAAAGTGTGAGCATAAGTTTATAACAATCGCACAAATGAGGCACCCGCACCCACCACCCTAACAGTGCAGTGGGCATTGGGAGCGTGGGAACGTTTGTTGACTTCCCTCTCCCCTGTTGCAAAACTCGCTAAGCCGCAGTTTTATGCCTGGACTTGGCCCGATAGGCCAAACAGACTCAGTTGCCGTTTGGACGTTGCCCTCGTACGTCTCTCTCTCGGCATCGCCATCTCTACTTCCACCATTCTACTGTACATTTCCCCGTCTCCTTTAACTCTTTTGTTTTTTTTAAATCTCAAATGGGTGATCACCCACAATCAAAATGAACATAGACAAAGGAAAATTCCCAACAAGCATTCTAACATTCAATCAGCGTTGCATAAACGTTAATTTTGAACCTTCCCAGTGCATTGTTGGGGTTGCAGCTAACATTAAGTCACTATTGCAATGTCGCTTATCGGAACACTCAGAAGAACGTTGAAGTTCAACACTGGCTGAACGTTGAGCCAACATTGCGATGTCACTTATTTGGACGCTCACTCCCACTCCTGTAGCACTCCAATAATTGGTCAATAATGAAGGCAATAGACCAAATTGTGTTTTGAAAATTCTAATCTTAGTACTTTACAGGGATCGGCTATCCCTTTCCTGCTCCTCAGAGTACCGGAATCCCCCTTTCCGTCACTGGCAGTAGAATAGCCGTTCTACCTTCCAATATCAGAAGATAGAGCCAATACATACTATCGAGATTAAATAAAAACACTGTAGATAATGACACACACGGAAGCAAGGCTTTCTCATCGGGAGTATGAACTTGTTTATTTGCCTGGGCTCCATGTTTCTGTCTCGAATATATGGATAATAAATTAATAAGTGCCCGATTTGATTAATTCTTATAATGAGGCAATGAAAAACATATGGTGAGGTACTAAACACTTCTGTGTGGGATGATTCCATGGAAAGAAGGAAGTGTACTATTGTGTACTGTGCAAAAGCGAGACCTATACCTCCATCTAGTAGCCAAAAGGAGAACTTCAACATTTCCACAGAATTAACTCCTCCGTGCAAATTGGGCACATTGGATCATCGCATCAGTCTGATATTGCATCGATGATGGAATGGCAAAATTGGGAAGCCAATATTGAGTCAATATTTAGCCGGTATTGGCAATAATGGCAAGATGCATGTAGACATCGTGCCCAATGTTCGTCCAACATTGACCCAATATCTGGTGTTACTGGAGGAGTAACATTGGATAGGTTCGCGGTCGTTTTGAAAAAAAAAAATTTGGCCTATTGCCTTCATTATTGACCAATTATTGGAGTGCTACAGGAGTGGGAGTGAGCGTCCAAATAAGTGACATCGCAATGTTGGCTCAACGTTCAGCCAGTGTTGAACTTACTAACATTTTCCAGATTTTTCTAGAAAAAATCGAAATGTCTACATTTCACCTTTACAACCTGATACTACCATAAATATTTAAAAAAAATGCGATTTAAGAAGGTATAATAATGCCGTAACACTGCTACAATATTCACGCAACGCTGGTCTTTGACCTTCAACGTCGATGACATTGGGTGATTTCAAATCGGGCGTTGGTGTTCGGTGTTGGTGTTATTTCCCGGTGTTAGTGTTGAGAGGCTTCTCCAAACACCAGCTTCGGTGTTAACACCAATACCAACACTAACACCGACACTAACACAGTCACGAACGTTAACACCAACACTAACACTGAGATGAAACCCAGAATAACGGCGTCATCTTAGGACTGCTTTCATTTTTCTCTCAGGTTCAGGACTTATCATAAAATTGAAGGGTTATGGATAACGCAGATAGCAATCAGTGGCAGACTCATGAAATGCGATTGCGAATGAATTGCAACTTTGCCTACGCCTTATATCTTCTCGTTAGGTCTATGTTGGTACGACGAATACTTTTTTAACAAGTGATTTCGTATTTTTCAAAATGATGATTACAACTTGAATAGTCATTTATTTTCTGATATTGTCTCCTCATAAAAAAGGAACTTTTGATGCCCTATTGCACTACGTTGACACAGCAAGCAAAGGAGATTTGGGATGGCCTTAGTGACACTATTTTTTTTTAAAGCTTTCATCTATCTAGAATATTGGCTGATTTACACCTTGCGCTCTAGATAAATTGGGAAACTCAGCATATAAAGATTTTCTTTATTGCTATTAAGTTTGCCGGTTTATGTTAATCACGGTAAATTTTAATGTATGAGTTCATGCATAAAAAGGTCCTTGATACTATATACATCGATAGCATATAATCTGACGATGTGTATGGTGATGTAACACACGCACAGATGATGTAACATGGTGTTACACCAACACCACAGGGCGAGTTCAAATTAGGTGTTAAGGGGTGGAGTTCGTGTTACACGGAACACTAACACGGAACACCAACACCGAATTCGAACTCACCCATTGTATTAACTCTGGGGGAACGTTCCCACAACGCTGCTGTTTGCTGGGTTATTCCCTTGAAGAAGGAACCGAATGAAAGAAAAAAATTTCCTTTCCTTTTCAAAACATTTTAATAATCTCTCGATGTGTGTAATCGAGAGTGTTAGTTATGAGTGTTTAATAAACGAGTTTCTTTTTCAAATGCACTTTACTTGTTTATTTATCTTATTATTTTAAAAAATTATGAAGGAGGGTCATATTGTGTCACGTAATTTTCTTGGGGGTCGAAGCTTTCGTTATGGAGTGTTACGGGGAGGAGGGGCGGGGGTTCGATAAAAGTTAAAAAATCACGTTACATAACTTGTGAACTAGCTAGTTTTCTTAGCTAAAAAAGGTGTTTAAATATTTCGTCACCTGCATCAGCATACATACGCTTTTCTTTCAGTAATCGACCATTTTCGAACAAGTATTTCCATTCTGCATTTTACTCCTTGCCGCATTCAATTTAATCAACTTATTCCATCTGTTGGAAAGATGCTGTAGTGAAAAATTTAGAATGAATGCCCAGCTCCGTCCACCTTATTATAGCCTGGAACCCATGTTCCAGGCTATAAAATGTTCCAGGATTCCTCCATATTCCTCGTTCCGCATTTTACCCGGGCTGCTCTCGATCCGGACCCGTGGCTTCATCCACGTGCCACTTTCACATCGGTTTTCTACATCTCATTCATGACTTTGACCTGACCCTTGTTTACAATGCCAAAGTGTTTAGGTTAGATATGGCAAGTCCTTCGAAAGCAGAAAGCAATGCCCGGACTCTATGCAACGAAGCTTTAAGCCTTGTGGGGCAGTTGAAGGTGAGATTGGGTGAAACCTCTGATGGAGACAAGACTAAAGTTGAGCAGAGTCATTCAGAGAGAGGACAGAAAACTCCTGGGATTGCAGTAGCCTCGGCTAAAAAGCCTGCTGGACTAAACATGGTCTCCAAAGGTGATGGATCTGAGACAGGAAAAGGTAGGCTAACTTTTGTTCCTAGGCTTTCTCTTAGGCTTCTAGGCTTATGTGATGGGACTTAGGCTCAGTATCTTCAAAGCGAAACGTTCGAGTTGTCGTTTAGCTTTGGTTAAACTTATGTCATTAGTTTCCAGTTTATGGAAACTATGGAGCTGTTGGCAATGGTCAGTATGAGCCTTGTCATCCAAGATCATGGGGAGTAGGAAGAGTAGTGTGAGACTATCACTGGTTCCCTCTATCAGTATGACCACTGTCTTAGCAGGAGAGTAGTTTATAAATCTAAGGACTATTGGTTGGGATTCAGAATAATGTGACTTTTGCGACTTCAGTGACTAAAGTGGGTGGTGGATGCATGATGTGAGAGGGTTGCTTTTGTAATTCATGTTATTCTCCCCTTATTGGGGTTTGCCAGTGATAATTTACCTCAACCAGAGTACTCTACTTTTGTGGCAGCCCATTTTTGGTTCCGCACTTCCCAGTTTTTTTTGTTGCAATGAATTGAACCAAAAATGTCAAATTTTGAATTTTAGATTTTGATTCTATAGACATTGTTTGAACAAAATATGTATGTGTAACATATTTTATTAATTTATTAGGGCAAATCAAAGACGAAACACCGAAACACGAGTTGCCTGTGTCTTATGCAGGCAAGTCAGTTTTGGGAAGGACAGTGTTGCCCGTATCAGAGACAGGCAAATCGCTGAAGCCGTTAAGATTAGGGAATATACTGCAGGAATCAGACAAAGTCATTGGTACCTCAAATATCAACATTTATCCAGATGTACTGAGAATCCTGTGGGATGTTCCAGTACAATTGCTCTTAAGTACTTCAACACTTGTTTAGTAATAGATTAACCCCAAAATTACTGAGACATACCTCATTGGTTAATTTAATGCTTAATTGAAAATACAATGTGATATTTGCCAGTACTGGCTTAGGGCTTGCTACTCATCTCAGAAAAACATTGAGGATGAATCCAGTTCCTCTATGTCCTACTCATCATGATCAGTTCATTACCTTTCACAATAAAGCTGCTGGTTGATCTTTCAATGATTAGTATATTTTAGTAATATCAGAACATGGTCAGCTTTAGGTGCCTCTGAAAGATCCAGAAGTCAACACAAATGTAAGGCAGGGATACACTCATACCAGTTAATTTTTTGCCATCACTCATGGTAGTTAACTTCTGCCACATTAAGGAGTGTTAAACTGTGAATTTTAAGCAAGACTGAAGTGAGGTTTTCTATGACAAATTTGCCAGCTTGACCAGTCTGACTAAAGGTTGTTGAGAAAGGCATGCCTTACAACCACTTTCTCTGTTATTGGAATCAGCACTTACCACTGCCTTAGATGACATCACCACCTTATTGCATCATAGCTTCAGATTCACCAATGGTACAAAAGTTCATTGGCAGAGTGAACCCTGTGAGTTTTATGAGGCTTCTGTTTGAAGAGTCATCTGAGAACCATGATCAATCTTGTGAGTACAGACATCCACCCACCATTGCAATAATCCAACTTTTTTTTTCTTACATATTCTGTTATGTGTATTGAAATTTTTTGTCACTGTTACAGTACTAAACCCTGGTTGCTTTAGCCTGTTTTAGTACAATAGCTTATAACTTATGATTTTCTGGTAGTATAAAATATGCAAGAAGATGTATCAAGACTTGATGTGGTTTGAAATCTTTAGAAGCTGTAAAAGATGGCACATCGAGTGGTGTAATGACACAAGATGAGAAAGCTGCATTGCGGAAGGCAAACAAGGCAGCAAAGAAACAGAAGAAGGAAGGAGGGGGCAAAAAGAAAGATGAGCCCAAGAAAGCCCCTCAGGAGTCTCAAGAAATTGAAACTAGTACAATGGCTGGAGAGAAGAGCAAAGCTGAACTGAGAAGGGAGAGGAGAGCTGCACAGGTGAGTTGCCTTGAAGCAGATCTGTTGAGGAACTTCAAACTAAGCACTATACTGGTGCCATTGAGTATTTGCATTAATCAGTGTATAAGCCAATGCAATTTCCTTATTATAAGTGTTTGATTGCCAGGAGTCACAACGAGCAGCCAAGGATCAGAAAAAAAGTGAAACTGCTCCTAGGGAGAAAAAGGACATTTCAATAGTTACAAAGACTACTGAAGCAGAGAGGAAGGATTCCCCTAAGAGATCAACTCACTCACCATCCAAGGTATGGTGTGATGCTTGAAATGGTGAAGTTTTGATGCAACATTGCTCATATGTAATTTGTTAGGTTTTTATATATTCTTCCAGTTCTTACCTCATTATCAGATCCAGGAAACATTTTTGACATATTCCTATCCATTCATGAGTCCCAGTTCCATCATTCCTGTCTCATTCATGCCTAGTCATCAGTCTAAGATATAGTTTCTATCCTGTTCATATTTAGTTATCAATGAGATCATATTTATTTTCTTCATATTCAGGTCAGGTTTGCCTCTTCTTTGGTCATTTCAGGCACACTATTGAAGTTTATAATCAGAAACAACATTGCAAATGGATGTAAGCAATCACATTCTGAAAGAAGTTTCAATCTGAATTCTTAGATAATTTTCTTTTGTCTTGACAAAATGAATTGAAAGTATTTTAATTGGAATCCCTTAATTGTCTTCTGCTTATTTTTTCATTTCTCATCTCATCTTTGTTAACTGCTTTTTATTATTAGCATTGTCTCTTCATTTTTTCAATATATGGTTATCTCATGATCAGCTAAAGTCAGAAACATTTTGTCATCATTCTCATTTTAATTGGTATGAATCACCTTGCCTTGCAGGAAGTTTAAAGGAGCAGTAGTGCTCACTCAACTGCTTTTGGTTAAAATTTATAAGACCAGATATAATACAGTTATAATAGAGTCAGTTTGGAATGTAATTGTGCTGGCATAGTTGAAGGTACTCTAATCACTATGAAATTTTGCATGAAAGTCATCATTATAGTGGACTAGCTTAGCCTAACAAAAGGTAGGCCTTTGCCTTTCTTCCTACATTTTCAGCTCCAAAGAAATTTGACAACTCTGGTATCATAATGTGTTCCAGGAAACAAGAAAGTTAGGGGTGGATTCTAATAAGGCTGCAGCTGAAAGTGGTGGTAAGCCTATCACCAGCATAGGAGTAAGTTCAACCAGAAGACTCCAGCTCTTCTCCCACTTGGTGCAACACGAGAAGAGGACCATAGCACCCCCTCAACTCATGTATGTTCCATTCCTTTTGTATTAAAAGGAGTCCAAGGAGCTATTAAAAATTTTTCAAACTCATTGTTTACCGCAGGCAGCTCAGCTTCATGTGGTTTATCTTGTTATTGATTGAAAATTAATCTCATACACTGTAAGTGGATATATAGTTAGTATGAAAGTAAACCCCTGCAATCCAATATCTAACAGATATTTTTTCTCTTTCTCTAACAGGTGGAATAAAGCAAAGCTGCATCCAGCAGTAGCCACAGTTGGTCTTCAGATCTCCCAGGGCTTGGTGCAGGGGTCCAATGCCAGAGCTCTTGCCATGCTCCATGCATTCAAAAAGGTTCTGTAACATATATTTTTTCCCCCATAGACTCATCCCATATTTGTATAATTTTTAATTATTAAGTTATAATCATTATGTATGCTTCATCAGCTCAGAGTACTCTTTCTGTGACATCATGTTCCCACATGTCTGCCCAGCAGTACAGGGTGACCATTGCATTGGTTTACTCTCAGTTATATGGAGAATGGAATTTCATGGTTTTGTCAGAGTGCTTAAATAGTACAGAATGTGTTTGGGGTGCACTTACTGAGTCCTTTATCCCCATTCTTCAGTCTTAACTTGCCTTTTGTTTCCTCAGGGTAGTAATTCATCATCTATTAAACATGTGCTTTATGCCACTTAGCCTCAGCAAAACAGATACACAACACTTTTTCAAGGTCTGTTCAAGTGTAAGTAAACCTTAAACCTTAATCTAGCTCTTGGATGAGTGCAAAGTCTCAGGAATTAAAGTGTGTAAGACAAAAGTTAATATGGTCAGAATCCTGGGGCCTTATTCACGAAACAATCTTACGAACTTTTTTCATCGTAAGAGGAAAAAAGTTCGTAAGTGGTATTCACGAAACCTCTGTTGCCACGAAGTTCTTACGAAGTTCGTAAGTGGTATTCACGAAACATTTTTGCGTAAGAACTTCGTATGAGACTTCGTACGCAGTTAGTAAGATTGCTGGACAATTTCGGTATTCACGAAAGGGCAAAAGTTTGTATCTTTCTTCGTAAGTCTACGATTGGTCCGGAGGTATCGTAAGTGTCTGCCATAATGAACTCAAGGCGATTTCTTGAACTTTCATTTATCGAGTGTCTCAAAAAAGCTTAATTTTGTTTACACTGGAGGGCTCACAGGATGTGTCCACATTAGATTCACAGGATTTTGCACTCTTTTCTCCAATTATCGAAATTATTCTCTGACACAATTCGGGCAATGGAGGAGGAGGTCCACCTCCTCCTCCTCCAAATCAGTACCCTGATTTCCTCACTTGAAATTAGATTCACAGGATTTTGCACTCTTTTCTCCAATTATCGAAATTATTCTCTGACACAATTCGGGCAATGGAGGAGGAGATCCACCTCCTCCTCCTCCAAATCAGCACCCTGATTTCCTCACTTGAGAAATTTGGTCGTAGGGCACTCTTTCCTCCTCTCTCCACGATTAAACATTTTGATACTGTACCCTCTAAGCTTCCTTCGGCATTTCTGAAGCCTTAAGGTAGTTTGCTTTACGATAAGATTCAGTGGTACGGAACTATAGCATGTTTTTCTAAAGATTCGGCAGAACGTCCAATCATGTCAAAACTTCCTCTAAGGGCGAAAACTGTCACAGTAGACGCAGGAAGTTTGCAGAAGGCCTTTGTGACAAAGGGACACGTGAGTCATGCTGCCAACGTGATAAGCACGTTGCTCTCCACTCTGTGATTGGTTTGCAAGCTCACGAGATCAGCTATGATTGGTCGGCTCATTATCATAGCTACGAAGTTTCGTGAATACCAAAGATACGAAGTTCGTACGAACGTCGTAAGAATATCGTAAGAATATCTCATTCTTACGACGTTTTCGTGAATACGGCCCCAGGACAGCCTACTGCGATGTCGGCCATCGCTTCCCCACTTACGGCCGACGTGAATCCAACGTGGTGCGCGTGCGCTCAACGGCGTGCTGTTTTCCGGGTTCGCGTCGAACAAGCGGATGCGAGCGGGGCTTCGTTCGTGGGGCTTCTCAGGCGTGAGCGCGGGAGTGTCGACGACGGGGAGCGCGCCGTCCGTTCTCTTCGCATGTCGAGGCTCGTCGGGAACGGGTGATAGGATGGGACCTGAGACATTCGGGGCGAAAATCGGTCTTTCGGGATGGATGCCTCGCGCACGACCTGCGGCGAATTGAGATTTGCGACTGCTCGTGTCAGAGTGGGAGACCTCGGGAGACACTCCCCTGCTTTCTGCTGATCAAAGGGCCGAAACTCGGAAGGCAAATTACTGTACAGTGTTCATCGAATGGATTCGACCCACCTTCCCCCCTTCCCCCCCGCCCCCCCCCGCCAAGATGAGTGACCACCCACATCTACAACCACCCGCCACCACAATGGGTCTTCGAACTGTGCTCGAGAGGAGTCAACTCCGGGGAATGGCCCAGCACCGAAGCGAAGCCAAAAACCAACTCTACCATGACAGGTGAGGGGCTAATATTCTAGATGCAGCCAATCGGACGTTCCATAAAAATATTCCATTACGAAAGCAAACGTAATCCGCGTTCCTTCTTCGCCTCGTATCACCAGTTGCGTCGGACGAGAATGATATATTCCTCGGCCCAAAACCGAAACTTCGAGTTACGTCGACTTTATTGGAGTCTGCCGCATCGAAACAAAAGATGCACGAAGTTTGTAGAGTCGCACGTGACGGATCACAGATCCTTCTAGTGATGTACGACCTACGATTAAAAAAAAAAAAGAAGAAAAGTTCGCTGGTAACGTGAAAATGCGATGAACGCGTTAAAAACCTAAAAACTAGGTTTGATATCATCCTTGCCCGACGACTGGAGATCCCATGTGATTCAAACAATTTCTCTCCATCAACACACTTCCTATTTTGGCCGAAGTCGATCGGACATTGCGTACCATCGACATGGTACGCCATCGACATTTTTTTTTTACCATTCACCAGTACCGGTTTTCGACATGTACGTGTTCCACACACTCCGGCAACGATCCGAAAGGATTTCCCCTGGATGCGTTTCACGACGCGACCAGGCACGACGGAAGTCTGGGAACGTTCGTCCGTTCGTTCCCCAATCGCAGAGGATGTAGGAGACAGCGATGCAGTGACATCTGTGACGATTTGCTGACACTAGTAGTTACGGTATCAGATGAGGTGAATTCGAAAAGCGCTGCATGCGGATGACATCTATGTCCCCCTATGCCTCCCCCCCCTCCAAGGGAGAAGGGTCAATCCCTAGCGTCCAAAAGACGCTTAAACGGAAAGCATTCCCAGCTCCTGTAGTAAAACTGAGGGTGGCATCCATTATATCAGCAGCTTCATTCATTCTGGAACGTTTTGGCGCCCCTGGTGAATTTACGCTCTGTACGGGGGCGAATGTGGCACATGCCAAAGGCCGGCCTTGCATGTGAGGTCCACTGCATCTCCATGGGACCTGGTCAACTACATCTGCCATGTCTTATACTCCTTTTGCAACATTTTCGCGATGCACGTGTTTAGTTTGCGAACGATAGCATTTGCTATTTTCATCGAATCAGCGGCTCGTACAAAAAAGCTTTTTTTTTTTAATCCTGATATAGCATATGAAATTATATTTGAACGAGATTTCAAGTATTCAGGTCATCTGCGTTGAAGAACCCGCATGGCTCCTATGAATGAGACTTCTTCGATTCCTCCCCGTTTGCTCCTGGAACACTCATTATACCTGTGAGCCCCCGGAAGTGTCTCTTTACTCGTGTGGCAAAAGTTACCATGGATGCATTTATTTTTCGACTCGGTCGAGACGAACGAAAACTCTCGAGGGGGGCAACGTTCGGCTCTCTGTTCCACCTCGGAGTGGCCTTGCTCCATCGAAGCGATGGGGAACCACCGAGACAGAGATCCTGACTCCAGGGACGCGAGCGAACGAGAGCACCGAAGAGGCGTGACGAAAGGGAACCGGAAGAGCTTGCTTCCTTGTGGGAGGTGGCCGTTGGTCCGTCGGGATTTCACGGGCAGTCGGGTCGCTGAGGTTGTTGGAAGGCGAAGTAAGGGCTCTTCTCCGTGATTCCCATGTTCAGCAGCTTTCTTCTCCTCGCGCCGGCAGGTACGAGGAGGTTCACCCTCTTCACCTTCTGGCAGGCCGGCATGGGTTTATCGCCTGGAGCCCTCGAGGGAACACGTCCGGCGAGAGCGTCGTAGGGGTTCGGCGTGAGGCACACCTGTTCCTTCCGTGGGGATCCGGGCGCGGGGGGGAAGCACAGGTGCTCGCTCCCCGGATGCACTCTCTCCCCGTTCATCAGGTGGAAGATCGTGGCTTTCTCTTCGCGAAGACAGTTCCCGACGGCGAACGACACGCCGGGAGGCTCAAACAAGAACTTCAAGTACGGAACGACGGACGGAACGAGTCGATGGAGACGCACCCTGCACGGCTTCATTCCCCGCACGAGCTTCCTCGATCCCTCGTCCAGCCCTACATCCAGAGACAGGGTGACATCCAATACTTACTGCGACCTCCACCGATGGACGGTCGGCAGCTCACCGGTCTCGATGGTCCGTCTCCGCTCCTTCGCCTGCTCCCTGGTGAAGCAATACACGTGAACGTAGCGTGGAGCCTGGCAGTCGGTGGGGGTGCCAGGATTCTTCCGGGTCGGGCGTGGTTCCTTGTCAGCCTCCTCGGGTGCGTTCGCCAGGCCCAGTTTCTTCATGTAAGTGTCCTGGCGAAAGAAAGCTTTTTATAAGGGAGGCATTTCGGCTCGGAAGATGTGAAATCGGAGAGAGGCGTTCTCACCATATCGATGAGATCGTCGTCTTCTACGTCCTCCTCTCCTCCCGGCTCCCCAATAGTCGGGTGACACGTGTCTGCCGGCGCCATCGTCATCGCCGCTCTCCCCTCTGGAGTCCCCCGACCGTTCTCCCCAAAGCGGTCTCGTGGGCCACCCGGTCTCGCCTCCACCCCCGAATGAGACAGGCAGTCACGCCGCGATGCTCCGTCGTGGGGATCGAAAGCGGAGGGTCGTGTTTCGCCTCCTCGGGACGCCACGTGTTTGCACGTATGGCTCGGTCGCTCGCGGTTACTTGCACGATGACGAAGGGGGTTTCGGAGTCGGCGTCGCGATCTGCAAGCTCATCCACGAGCCGAACGGGACGTTCTATGCTGCAAGGAAATCCGCGTTTTACATCATTTGTCGATGCGCGAGAGACGTCGGTCTGGCGTGATGGAGTGTCTAGGTGGAAAAATATAGTCATTATGTTGAATGTGTAGAATACTAGTCATTGCTCGGTCTAATGATCGGACTTAATGTAGTTTGATGCTCCTTTTCTCTCTCGAGAAATATAAATTATTCACTCCCCCCCCCCCCCGATTTTAAAACCTTATCTACCTAAAAGACTTCCTCTGAGAGACTCTGGAAACGTCGTTACCTAGCGATCCCCTTACTTTTATTAGTTGTTATCATACTTACTGGTCCTTTTACCTTTTGGAATTTCGTCGCGAAGAGCTCCGTCCGTTGCATGTAAAAAAAAAAAAAAACAGATAAGTGAGCAATTCGTGATCCAGCTGATATATTTATCCACTCTGGAATTCCAGCTATCTCGTCTCGGCCCCATCCCACAATAACCTCATCGATGGCAAAAGCAACCTCGAGCTTCGGGAGAGCCAATTCGGTTCTCGCGGTTTACTTCCGGGGAGACGCAATTTGGGTTCTGCCTTCACCGCTGGGTTCTTTAACCTCCCACACCTTGGGATGGAGTGCTTCGCCTTCGTTGCTCGGGGATCTCACTTTCCAGACCGACGGAGGTCAGCACTCGGAAAAAAAGTGCGACTCGGTCGGTTTCGCACTCGGGATATCCCGGGAGGAAATCATGCGTGCTACCAATTTGACCCTCCAACCCACTCGATTTGATTCTCGTTGTTACTGTTTCGCGGATTTGCTGGTTGACGTGTTACTCGTAATCGGTTTCCACTTCTAGGGTTCCTCGATGTCTCACATCTCGAAGCAATCCCCAACAAAAATGTACCATATGGGTTAACCCAAATTAAAATTGAACAATATAGGTTAACCTAGGTTGGTGCCTCCATTAACCACTAGGTAAACCTCACTAGTATGCGTCGCCATCGTTAACCTACGTTAACACGGTTCCGTTTTCACCTATGATACACACGTCCTCGGGGAGGGAGACGTTACGAGACGGTATCATCTCGTGAGCCGCGTGGAGCATCGAACCTCCGGTCTTCCTTCGCCGAGGGTCTTCGATGGTCTCGCCGGTTTGCGTCGTGGTGGGAGTGTCTGTTGCCGTTTCCCGTTCGGAGCCTGGTTTCGTGTGCTCGAGGGAAACGTCTGTGCTCTCGTCTCCACTTCTAATCTTATCTAGAGAGAAAGACGGAAAAACAGGAAATCGCAGTGCGGTTCCGTCTCGGGGAAGCACGTGGTGCTCTGCTCGGATGCAACATTGTATTGCTGTCGGTTGCTGCGTTGCTACAAGCACTGCGAGCAGCTCATCGCCCAGCCGTGGTGTGCTTAAAAAATATACCGAACGCGATGTAGAGACTCTCATGAGGGTCACAAGCGAGCAAATGAAGTAAACACAGTACACATAGTAAACATAGGAAACAGGACAGTGCAAGTGCATGATAGAGGAAGCCAAAGTTACGAAGAGTTCCTTCATCCTCGTGTTTATCGGGCCGGAAAGCAGGAAGCGCAAGGCATCAAACGAATGTTACGATAAGTTCAGTTAGTCCCTGGAAAGTTGAAACTTCGCTCTCACAGCTGAACAGAAGAAAGAGCGAAAATCTCTCTGTCGAAATCTCTCTCTCTCTCTCTCTCTCTATATATATATATCTACTGTAGTCCGTGGCATGTTTAGCCTACAAAGAGACGATTCGAAATAGACCCCCTAATGTTTAGGCTGCCCTTAGTCATCACTCGGCGCCAGTTCTCCATACCGTGACGATTACCGAAGCGCATGGGGCGGACCTTTGAGAAAGTGGGGGTGTTTTTACCGCTCTTTGTCTTCTCACATGGCCAGCCAGTGGCGGATCCAGGGGGGACGGGGGGATTGGGGGGGGGGGGGGGGGGGGGGGGGGGGGGACGACCGCTCCCCCTATGTTCATGTCCGCATTCAATTATTTTAATTTCAAAGCACATTAAATAATTTTTCGTTGGGGCCTGTGAAATGGATATCCAAGTTTTACCGCAGATGGAAGATGAAAAAAGGGATAAGATAAGAAGGTGGTGATAGATGGGGAGGGGGGCGGGGGAGGGGGAGTTGGAACTAGGAAACCGCCGTCCCTTTCAATAATTTCTGTATCCGCCACTGCGACCAACTGTATACGGCCGTGTCACGTGTAGGAGAGGAGTGTCGTTTAATATTCATAGTCATCACCCTTACAAACAAATGTTAACATGCTATGTTAAACTGGAACTCTGTTAACACGTGTTAACACATGGAAACAGTGTGTACCACGTGCTAACCCACCATGATACCATAGGTTAACCTATGGTACAATTTGTATAATCAGCGGACTGACGATCCAAGAGATGAAAGTGTCTAGTGAGATTCTAGGACAGTAACTATGATATTAATTTCTCACTGTGTGAGTTAGTTGTTTGTAAAATGCATTATTTTGCCAGTTGATAGATTAGTTGATAGTTTCTTCATTTCTATGCAGCGATAACGATAGCCATTGCCTTTAAGTTATTCCATACACGGGCTACTAGCTATAGCTTAACTATAGTAAAGTAGAAATCTGTTTTCTACGTTCGAACATTGCAGAGTACGTGGATGTAATTGGGGACAACGAAACGGTTGAACCCATATCTTCATGCATTCAGCGTGGAGCTACAAGTCTTCGTCACTGGAAACGAGCGGGGCACTGTCAGTATACTTAGATAACCACAAACCGAAATTCGGCTGGAGCAGACGATTGATTCCTCTCACGAACAGATTGGAAGTGACTCACGGATCACGATAGGAGCACGATCGGAGCACGATTGGAGCACGTTTGGAGCGTGATCGGAGCACAATTGGAGAGTGATCGAATGAGTCGCTTCGAATCTAAAGAAGGACGAAATCGTATCGGAATTGAAGCTTCATCACGTGGTGCCAGTCATCGCGAAATGCTGAAACATCACACACACACCCACAAATGTGCCATCGTTTGGGAGGCTCCAAGGTCGGACTCTTCGTTGACGAGCGCTTTCACCCGACCGGGAATCGGAACGCCCTCTGGGGTGGGCAGTGTGACGTTGCCGTGCGGTCCCGGTCTCGCCCGGCGTGTATCGGTCACGCCCCGGCATGAAGCGCGGCTGTAGCATCGACTACTGGCTCGCAGAAGTTTATTTTTATGGCTCGGCGTGATCATTAAGTAGGATGATGTTTCATCGCAGTACGACTCTTGCGTCGGGATGGGAGATCCCCACAGCTCCCATGTTCCTCTCCCCGCCTCCTGTGCCCCTCTCACGTCTTCGAGCTGGTTCTTGCTCTCGCAAAGACGTTGCAGAGAGGCAGGAAGCCGAGCGAAGGGAGAGGGATCCACATCTTAACGGCAAAAGGACGTCATCCAAGGTCGTCACGTGACCATGGGATGGCAGACTACCGAGATGAGAAATCACAGAACTTTTCCCGAGTCGAGGAGCAGGAAACGAGCACGAGACGAGCATGAGCCGGCGTGACGGCAGGAAGCGCGGCCCGCCTCCGGCTGCCCCCTTCTCCTCCGATCGAGGACCGACAAAGTGAAACGCGGAGATAGATGGGTCTGTTGTCCGGTTCTCCTTTTCCTCCGTTCTTTCGTGGCTTCGGGTCCGGCATGGCGTTTTCTTTTTAGATAAAAAAACGGCAAATCGTCCCGTTTCCAATCCTGGCCTTCCGTCCATTGTTCTGGATGGGAACGAAGCACGTGCACTGCGACGAAGCCAAGAGGCGAATTTTTTATCTGTCATTCCCACAGTACTGGTAAATAGCAGATATTGCGATCGATCTGTCTTTTTTTTTTCGTTATCATTCCTGCTGTGCAACTTCCAACTTGGGTCGGGGTGCCAGTCAACTACTAAAACTTCCAATGTCCTTCCTGCCCTCGCGGATGACGGATCCGAGGTAGACGATGGGAGAGAGCGGCTGTCCGCGGCAGCGTAGACAGGGTCGCTGGACGTACTCTTGAAATGCCTGTAAATACAACCTGAAGCTTGTCTGGCATCCTTCAGGTTGTACTTTACTTGTACTCAATACACCTCCACGGACAAAATAATTCGTTACGAAGAGCCCTTCCATGCAAACGGAATAGCTGCGTAGCTACGAGCCCAGGGTACAATCGATTCGCACTTATCGTAGGGAAAGCAAATGAAACTCAGAGTGAAATGTCACGTTTCTCTCAGGAAAACTTTTTCTCTTTTTAATTTTTTTTCCAATAGGTTTTCTCTCGATCCAAACGCCCCGGACACACCCTGCAACATTTTTTATGAATAAAATTCGGGGTTCAGTTCATTAGAGTAAATGACAGAAAAGACCAGAAAAAAAATTTTCCGAAAAAGAAGACACGAAGCTCGACGACTGAACTGAAAACCGGCTCTGACCCCAGACTCCTCTTTCGAACTCTCCCCAACCCCCCGGGATTCTGCATCACCTCACGAAACCAAATCCCAGCGAAACCAGGAGAAACACGAGGCCACACCCACCCCCAACGGCAGACGGATCCCGACTGACGCCTCCTGCTCTCATTCGCGAAGGTCGCCTCATCCTCACCCTGCGTCTGGCTGTGCCGAGAGCCCTCGGTGGATGGAGGCCTATATCTTAAGTGAACTTGGAGACGAACGGGCCCGTTCGTCTCCAAGTGCATTTAACAGTCCCGGCATGTGTCAAGGGAATGTGTGAGGAGGAAAGGTCCTTCCATAAATCACCTCGCGCGACGGATTTATTGTCACCATTCTGATCGCTATCAACGGACAGGGAAGTCAGAGAAGCCTCTAGGCGAGCCGTTCATCTCCCTCTCTCTTTCTCGCTAATTAATATAATTAATTACGGGTTCTCAGTTAATTACAATTGATTTAGTTCAAGTTGAGCCTATAGAGTCGTCCACAGAAAGCAGTCCTTATAACCGACATCACACCCGATGACGTCCCGAGCATCAACCCGTCTCGGGTTGCAGTTACACGCAAGCACCATACAAATAATTACCCAAGGCTGCCAGCACGGGGACCCTACCGCTCCCCAAGCGCCTCGGAGCGTCAGCGGCGATATAGGCACAGAGCGCTGCGGGCTCACCCTGAACCTCCTCGGTCGGGCGTCTCCCACTGTGCCCGACGCGATGGCCTTCCCGTCCATCTTCGCTTCCTCCTGTTACATCCCGGACCCTTCTTCCGATTTCCTCTGGGGAAACGTGTCGAATCCGATGAGGAAGACCATTTCGTGTGGTTCCTGGCCCGTGACACCATCCTACCGATAAACAAACTCGAGAATAAGACGGAATGCAAGGATTGTGCTTCCTGAGGAAAACTAGCAGAAGCACGAGAGTACTTGGAAATTTCGCGGTCACTGTGTTCACGCTCTGGTTCCCGGTCGCGCCGAACCGACTGGGCACAGCTGCCGCTCGCAACTCACTGCCGTGGAAGGTTTCAGGGCGGAAGAACGGCGGGCTTGTGATGGGTGGTGGCGGGGGTGATGACCCGAGGTTCGCGGTTCTGTGGACTTTCGAGTCGCAAACATGCTTGCCGGTATGGACGACCTTGGCTCGGGGAGCAGACGAGATGCCTCTCGATATCCTGGCTAAATTGAACAATGAACCTCGAGTCATAATAACAACTGGATGGTTTCGGTCCATGACACTGTCGTATCCAGTATTTCCAGTCTATCAAGGATATCCAGTGCTTATTCATGCTATTAGAGCTTGAATCTCAATAGGTATGTTCTTACTTAAAGCTCAAAGATCTACAATAATGTTTGAAAGCACGGCTAGCTCAGTCGGTAGAGCATGAGACTCTTAATCTCAGGGTCATGGGATCGAGCCCGACGTTGAACGATTTATTTTTTTCCTGGGCCGTTTGGAATATAATTTTTGTTGCCCTTCGGGTCTTCTGCTCCTTTTCAGAAGGGCAGTAAGGGCATTCGAAAACAGCCAGCATGGAATCTTCCTGAGAATCCGCTCGAAAACAGCACAGCTGGCGGACATAGTCCGACGATCTCCATAGCGTTAAGAATAAAATGAACCGGAAAGGGTTGAGCAGGGGTGGGCAAACTACTGTCAATGCGGCCCGTGACAGCATTTCGAACAGCCCGCCAGCTACTGAAGGAAAATTCATTAAAAATATATATATATTTAAACTGCGTGCAGCTGCGTGTCCCACTGAGATGCTGGTAAGTTTATTCTTATTCTTACACCTATTTCTGGCTTCTGTGACTCGCGAAGGCTTACATTTTCCCGCAAGGTCCGCAGACTAAAAAGTTCGCCCACCCCCGCCTTAGAGCCTGTTCACGTTTTTCGGCGCCTCTGATCGGCTCAGAAACACGGTAAAGATACCTAGACTGGGCAGGCCAATGGAGAAAGACCCACAGCCTCATGCCATCAGAAGGGTCGGCCGCCATCGCTCATGGCTTCAACGCGCCCGAGAAACGATCAGCTTTCAGATTGATGATATCACACTCCACTGAGTTTTGATGCTCGTCACGAAGACCTGATAGGTCCACCCGGTCTTCCGCAACGAGGTATGGTATTTTAAAACTTGATTAATGTTACCTTTTCCGTCTTTGAGGAATAGAAAGATCTTTATTTTCATTGCACTTAAGGTACTATGGGAAGATGAAAATCGACCCCCTGGATTGAAATTCCGCTTTATAATTGTTGTAAAGGACCTCAAGAAAGGGCTTTGGAGCCAATTGCTGACTCTGCGGTCACGCCCGAGGCCATGATCTGAGGTCGAAGGTCACAATTTACATGCATCTCTTTGAAAATGTGTATCTCCCCAACCATTGGTCGCAGAAACGTCAAATTCGTGCCATTCTCCTTTGGAAGATATGGCGCTAAATGGAAAAAAAATAAATACATGCATGAACCGTCGTTATCGAGACGCCATGAGAAAATTTCCATTTTCGGATTGTTTTTTCTTTTTTTTCGCTCTCATTCCTCGTAGAAATTTTCTATCGACAAAAGTCGGGTCATGAGTCCCGTCCGTCATACGATTGGGAACGAGGTAGACGAAGATTTCCCTACAGATTCATCTTTCAAGAGTTGAAAAGGAAATGCAAAAGTCAAAACATACGAAACAGCCCAATGTGGGGCTCGAACCCACGACCCTGAAATTAAGAGTCTCATGCTCTACCGACTGAGCTAGCCGGGCTTCGTACATATAAGTCGCCCGCAGACGACTTTCATCGAGAACCGACTGAGATTTGGAACAAGAGAAAGCCGAGCTCTCACATATTCGGTAAAATGACGAACGAGACATAATTCCATTAGAAGGAATCACATCTAGTCCTAGTCACGACTCATGGTCGAGGTCAACACGGACAATAGTTCACGACAACTTTGTGTTCAAGTTCAGTCGAGTTTTGACTCGAGCGGAGTCGGCGCTCGAGACACATGAAACCACACCTCGGCCCCGAAGTCATGCTCGAATGACACGGAACGACACAGCTCCGAGGATAGCAAACGGATTCCCATGAAAGTCCACACGAAGCTTCTTGAGAGACTTCTTAAGAGATCTTTCAGAGGAAAGCGCAATGTCCGTCAACCTTGAGTGATTTCCAAAAAAGTGGCATTTATCCAAGGCCCTTTCTTGAGGTCCCTTACAACAATTATAAACCGGAATTTCGATCCAAGGGGGTCAATTTTCATCTTCCCATAGTAAGGCGAGCAAGGCGAGGTAACCAAAGCCCACGACTTAAAATACGATAAAAGCCACTTTGTTCAATCCATGCTTGAGGTACGCTTCGTCTGAGTTTCGCGTTTTCATTTTCGCAGTCAGGCAAGCATTTAATGACTGGACGTCCAGTGAGAATCGTATGAGACCACACCCTGTTTGGGATTGATGTTCGCTACATTTTAGTACCTTTCAATTTATCCGTCCAGTAGTTTCATTATTATCAATTTCGGTCTGAATATGCGATCAGGAGATACGTTATTGCAGATCTCCAGAAAATAACGACTCGACAGCTCGTG